GGGGGGGGGGGGGGGGGGGGGGGGGGGGGGGTACCTAGCAGTGTTGCTGTTAGAGCAACAGGAACTGCCATGTCCCAGCAAAAAAAAAAAACAAACTGCCATGTCAAATCACAAAAATGTAGTCGTAAACCACAAGTACATCTCCTGTACATGTGCCAATACCATCTCGACAGAGTACAATCCCAAAATTTCCTCTTCTCATATTGCTCTAAAGCCATTAGCATGTCCATCGTGTGTCATGGCCTTTCGACTTCACCTCCATCAGATTAACCCGCCTTCAACTTCATGCCAAATAAGGCCAGGGTTAAGGCTGCTTTTTCCGAGTACAGTGTAAATCGATGATTACCTCCATTTCTCCAGGGAGCCATTCACATTCATTTACAGTGGACTCCCACCATCATAGGGGCATGGATGTCTCCAAATACACCCCTCAAGTAAATCCTAAATTCAGGAGAAAGCATCAATCTTTTGCNCACATTCATTTACAGTGGACTCCCACCATCATAGGGGCATGGATGTCTCCAAATACAACCCTCAAGTAAATCCTAAATTCAGGAGAAAGCATCAATCTTTTGCATATGAAACAGCGTAGTCCTTAATCATCTGCTTCAAATGCTGTGCACACAAATCATAGTTAATAATTTAATCAATTGACAGGAGGCTACATTAAAATGTTGTAATAAATCATCCACATATGGAAGTAGCTGGTTGGATAATGACCTTTAATTCTTCATGAAGCACGACGAATATGTTCTTCTGGCGTTTATGCCTCTGCACAATTAAATTGTTACGTGATCCAGACAGCAAAAGAGCAAATAGACAAAGACACAAAATATTGCAGTCATTATTCAGTCTAATAGGGAGCAGCAGACCTTCCTGGGAGCAAGTCTCAAACAACTCTTCTATCAAATTTTGGAATTCTAAATATGACAACAAATAAAGTTGTTCACCTTTTTCAATAAGAAACTGTTAAAACGTTTTAAAAAAAAGTTGTGGTAAGTCATAGTTTTGGTTAAATACTGGTCCAACACTGTTTGCACACTACTTAAAAAATTTNTAGTGGTAAGTCATAGTTTTGGTTAAATACTGGTCCAACACTGTTTTCACACTACTTAAAAAATTAAATTGAGTTCACATAAAATACTAAAATGAACATGGGACTTTGTATGAAGACCGTAATTCCTGATACATTCAACTCCAGAGCACCCAGCTCTTTCTCACAGCACAGGAGAGACTGTATAATTAAGTTCGTCAATTGAAAACAAAAAGGTATAACTATATAACATGGTTAAAAACCCTAAAATTCCCAGTAAGTGTAAACCCCCCACAATCTACCTGTGCAGGCTTAAGAGTTATCATCAGCCAAATTAAACTGGTCAGGTCAGTAAAAGCAGTTTCAAACAAGCAGGTTTTCACAATACTAGAACTGTCATAATGATTCTAACATAATAAGGTCTTCAACTGAGAAAATAGATGGGCATCATAAGAATTCTAAAAAAAAAACATGTGCAAAAATTAAAATTTGATCAGGATTGCCAAAATTCAAATCTGTTGCCCATGCTCTGGGTCAATTCACCGAAGCATATTATCACCCACATATGCAAAAGCAACATCAGAGGAACAAAAAATATAACACTACCATTCCACACTGGCGATAGGAATCCCTTAACTGCTCCAAGATGCTATAGTATCTCTCCGCATCTCTCCCTTTAGCAATTTCAAGTTCCCTCCCAAGTTTATTGAACTCATTCCTGAACATTTAAGAATCAAACCTTTCTTTCAGATAACATAATTTTGACAAACTACCAGATTCCATTGTCCACAAAAACAGAACATGAATCATNCCGCATCTCTCCCTTTAGCAATTTCAAGTTCCCTCCCAAGTTTATTGAACTCATTCCTGAACATTTAAGAATCAAACCAGAATCAAACCTTTCTTTCAGATAACATAATTTCGACAAACGACCAGATTCCATTGTCCACAAAAACAGAACATGAATCATTTTGAAACCTTGAAAATGAGCATATATAGTTTCACATACCTGTAGGATTCCAAGATTTTGTTCAACGAGCAGTAGCTATCATACTTCTCATGATACTCCTGCACATATTCCTTATACCTAAAGATGCATACAGAAAAAAAAAAAAACATGAAACAATACCAAATGTGCAACATTCAAGTGGGTACATCGCACACGCTATTACAGATACTGCCAGCATCATTATTGTCAGAATTATATAATACTTACTGAGAAAAATTCTTTATTGGTCCCTTTAGCTCCGGCCCCTCCTTCTCATACTTAGAATATGTACAGCTATTCTCATCCGAAGAAGATTCTCTCCTCTTTCGACCATTGTCATTTCTCTCCGTCAAAGAAGCATCCCTTTGTACCTCAGTGAAGTCAGCCAATGTACTACATTTTTGCTTTTTACTTCCTTTTGTAGAAGGGGAAACTGCACCTCGTCTAGAATCATTCTGTAGTGGTGCACTGACAGGCACCTTCTTGTGTGTATCTTCATACTCTGCCGGACCGATTCCTCCAACTTCGTTGTGTCTATTTTTACCATTCACGTCTGCTAACTTATTAGAAAGGGTCCCAACTTCACTATGGTCTATTCTGGATAGGTGCTGAGGCTGCTCAACACCATGATAAGATCTTGCAAACTCTTCGACATAATGTTCAGGGGTCCTCTTTTTAGACAAGTCCTCAGCATTGCTAGCAATCCCAATATTTGAATGGGGTGGGGATGGCTTTCTTGAATCTGCAGTTGTTTTCCCAGCAGGTTTTCCTTCACCCAAATCTGAATTCCGGTAATTTGACGTGGCTTGCTTGTTCTCAGACTGTTTGAAGGAACCTTTCCTCTCAAATCGCATTTTCATTCCGGGAGTTTCCTCCGGAAAGGGCTCACGAAATTCACCCAATTCCAAGTCTGAAAGTTCCCTTTGGAGTATACTACCTCTCCCATTAGTGACACCAGATCTGTCCATACCAGTCTTGTTGCTATCATTGGGGGAAAATCTTGTGTTTGAGTTTGAAACTAATCCAGCCTCTTTGAAGTTCCCAACCAATTCACCTTGTTTCCTGTATTGGGAGTCAGCAGATGTTAAGTGCCTATCTCTGACACCACTTTGTAGCTTTTTCTGAATGTGACCATCTTCAACTTGTGCTTCTCTATTAACTTCATTTTTCTGGGTGGGAAAACCTTCATGCATTTCAAGGCTTCTTTCTGAGTGCTTAGTACTGCGGCCCAATCTCTCAGCATGCTTACCAGGCCTGTCTGCAGCAGCAGGAGGATCTGCCCGTGTACTAAGATCAACAGATCTTCGACCTGAATGCTGAGAACCAGAAACAGATTTTCCAGGAATTGCTTGGTTGTAACCTTTATGTAAGTCAAAATCAGTTCCATCCCTGACCGGTATATTCATCATCATATGGGTTGTAGGGACCTTGTAAGGTCCTTCAACTGGACTTTCGTGAGATAAATTGTGAGGACTCAATGTGAGAAGGGGGTTCCTGCCCCCAGAAAATTGGGGTTGAGCCAAGTTTTTAGATCTTTTTGCCCGTTCCATATTATTATCAAAATGCTTCCCACTAGGTACTCTTTTGGATTTACCTTTGGATACTTTCTCAAAGCTCTCAGGCTGTTCATCCTTGAAATCAGCCCTAGCCATAGTTTCCTTTTCTCTATTAAAATTTCCTCTCCGGACTTGATTCTTTTGATACTCAAGACGATCTGGTGAGGAGGGTTTGGTCTCTTCCAAAGGTTTTTCACCTTCTTTATTAGGAGCTGAATTAATAACCACAGCCATTTCAGCTTCATGCTCATCATCAGGCAAATCTTTCTCAATCTCAACTATATCAGAACCATGCCCATCATGATTTTCATAAATCCCATTATGAACAGGCTCACCATCAGGAGTTCTCCAAGGAATTGGTGATGTAGATAACCCAGGTTCAGATGTTTGCAATTTGTGCTTCGATTCTTTGTCATCATCACTTGTCATAATATCCACATCCTCATCAGACCCCTCCTTGCTGTTGGAAGAGGCATCACTTTCACTGTCACTGCTACTTCCACTCAAACTTCCTATTGGGCTTCTACTTTTACTTTTACTTCTGCTTCTGCTTCTGCTATGGCTTCCACTGTCACTACCACTAGCACTGCTGTGACTATCACTGTCACTGTCGCTTCCACTATCACTAGAACTACCAGCCGGGCCTTCAAGTGAATGATGTGAAATATCAATTTTTTCGGCAGCATTTGATTCTTCTGCAGGTTTGGAATTCAACTGTGCCTGTTCTTCCAATTCCTTAGTATTGTCTTTCATGGAGAAGATGGGTTCGGAAGCAGGTAGTTGATCACAGTTGTCTTCTGGGGCAGGTGATTGGTGAAGAGCATCTTCAGGAGAACTGTAAAGGTAAAACATACACATGAATGTGCAGTGTGCAGGGACAGAAATCCACACAAATCCATACAACACGATGAAAAACGAGGACAAAATTACTCAAAAAAATATAGCACGGACACAGAGCCAAACAGAACCTTAGTACAATTCTTTTTTTATATAAGCATTTGTGGTGAATTTTCCCAACAGAACCAGTGCTCAACATAAGTTCACATCAAATATGTTACAACACAGATCACCTGTGATCCACTAGTCTCTCCCTTCAACTTCCATTTTACTATTGGTTAGGTAATGAATTGTCTTTCATGAGATATATCCTAACCCCCTACTAGACAAGTAATTTTTAAGTGAATTGTTCTGAGAATACTTTTATTTGCCCCCTCTTTCTAATAATAGCCAGCGCCCACTAGGTACAAAAGCACGGTCATGGAAACAAATACTGGTAGTGTGTAACTACTAGCTGTTATTCACACACAAAGCAAATAAAGTAAACAATAGATAGCAAAAAGGTCATAATAATGAATCATATGGATAAACGGATACTCTACTGGAGGCCCCAAACATGCCCAGCACTGCAGTAAGAAACAGAGGGTACCTTCCACTTTCAGACAAAGGTTTCTTGAAGCTTTCCAACTCCACTTCTGGTTTTAAGAAATATCTTCCTGGAGCTTGGAAAGTTGCAATCTGATGCTCAAAATTAAATGACAATACATAAATTCACAGCCCTTACAAATAACCGTATCAAGGACTTCCACTACTTACTTTTTTAATGATGGGCTCTATCTGCCTTACAGAATTGGGAATTGTATCTCCAATAGCTTTTTCTAATGCCTGTGATGAGGCAACGACAGAGATTACATGCNCTTCCACTACTTACTTTTTTAATGATGGGCTCTATCTGCCTTACAGAATTGGGAATTATATCTCCAATAGCTTTTTCTAATGCCTGTGATGAGGCAACGACAAAGATTACATGAATGTTAAAAAAAGCACTGAAGAAGTTAAAAACCTCCCCACCCAAAAAAAACCCCAAAATAAAGGGAAAAAAGGAAATTTTCTTTGATAAGCACTTGGATTGAAGAATCCACTAGCAGCAAACTGAGCTAAGCATTGATACTAACCACATACTGACCTTAAGGCTCATACCCTTGGGATTCTCCGTGAGTAGAGAAATTAGCACACTCTGCAAATCCATAGGTTTAGCTCCTACGTTTCCCTTGCATTTTGGTTTATCCCATACAACACCACTACCCAGCCTGCTGGACATTTCTTTCTCAGAGATAGTAGCATGCTCCTTGGTCATGGCTTGAGTGGGCATGGCATCTTCTACATTTGCATGGCCCTTAGTAAGATTACCACTTCCGAATGGGGATGCACTTGCACCGGACTGCTCTGGTAGACACGGCACGGGGGAAGCTGAGGGCCTGCCCTTTGAGGGAGTTGTTGAGGACAATCCACTTTTATAAACAGATTTGGGAGGTCCTCCCACTGTAATTAATGCATGACAATGATGGAAGAAATACAAAATCAAACAAAAACCAAAGCCAATAAAAAATATCCACCTTTAAGAATTTGATCGTTAAAATCTAACCACTTGTATGTTGCATGGGTTTCATCTACCATACCAAGTGAAGCATCAAATACAGTAAAATCCGAAAGGAATTACAAAATAATATAATTACCCAGAGGTGGTTCAGTTTTTTGCTTTTTGAACGGAGGATCTTTCTTTTGTTTAAAAGGCATTCTCCATGGATTGGCTGCAACAAGAAAATAAGGTTAGAAATGAACTTAAGCAAACAGGTGCTCACTTCAAAAGGTAGAGGTCCTAAGTGAGTAGTCTCCCTTAGGGCCCTCCCATAAACCTACCCAAGTAAATGTCTGGTCCATTTGGGATGGGGAACTGCATGTGCCTAGGAGAATTATTCACTTCCTCCAGGAGGCTCAGATACCAACTTCATGGCAATCTACACTAGCTTGGTTATTAACCAATATGGTTCATACAACCTAAAATTTGGAACTATTTGCACCAAGGGACTGTCATCATATTTGAGCACACAACTTTGAGTTGTTAGCCCGAGTTTTGTATACTGGTTCTTCAGAAGGAATTTACACATGAAAGCCTTTAAGCATATGATCATCTATCACAAGAAGATTATATTAGTATAAATGTTATATCCAAATAAATATAATAGGAAATCAATAGTGAAACTGTAAGCCTCAGATGTGTAGACTTTTAATTCACATAGGTCACACAAAAACTCCCTTGGTCGTTTTCAAGTTATAAATCTTCCTGACCATCATTGATACATAATATCCAATCAGTTACCAGACATGGAGCCATGCAGATCATGTTGCCTTAGTTGTATTTTCTTAAACGTGAAAAAAAAAATGGGGTGGAAGTAGGGTATCGCCCAAGGATTTCTCCATACCCATGGATGATGAAAATCCTTTCTTTGCTGGGCTGGACAATGAAAATTTGAGTGAAGAGATATAAATGATGATTCCCACTGTTTAATAGGACTTCAAAAGAAATGATATAATTATAGAAAGAACAATCAAATGGCGGTAATACAAAATATCTTCTCAAAAGCAGACGGAGGAAAATGTGAGAAATACTCAAATTTAAAAAATTATCTCTACCAGCAACTACCAAAAGATAAAAAGTGGGAAAAAGAAAATTCCACCCACAACTACAAAAGAATGTTAAAATCCAAAACAATTCTTAATTCAGCATAGTCGTGCTCAATGATGATAACAGGTGCATATTTCACATCAAAGTGCTGGATTAATGAAAACTGAAAAGAATCACCACTGGGCAAAAACATGACTATATGACCGAGGGCATAGGAGAAATCAGAAAGTAGTTAGTACACTATGGAAACTAAGAAAGAAATTCTGACGTTTGAATCTAAAGCTTACCCTCAGCAGCAGCTAAGGCCTTCATTTGACTCTTCATAGAGGGGTTCCCGGGTTCTAGAACAATGGCTCTGTTATTAAGAAATGCAATCAATATAACTTCAAAACATAATAGAGAAAAAAAAAACTCCAAGCAGCTTAACACATTCAATCTTCCAGCAATTGTTTTGACATGAAAATTTTAAAATGTATCCAAGGATGCATCATTTCAACTATTAAATAGAAGTCGTTCTCATTAGACCAGATCAGACACATCTTTTTCNATGTGTAGACTTTTAATTCACATAGGTCACACAAAAACTCCCTTGGTCGTTTTCAAGTTATACATCTTCCTGACCATCATTGATACATAATATCCAATCAGTTACCAGACATGGAGCCATGCAGATCATGTTGCCTTAATTGTATTTTCTTAAACGTGAAAAAAAAATGGGGTGGAAGTAGGGTATCGCCCAAGGATTTCTCCATACCCATGGATGATGAACATCCTTTCTTTGCTGGGCTGGACAATGAAAATTTGAGTGAAGAGATATAAATGATGATTCCCACTGTTTAATAGGACTTCAAAAGAAATGATATAATTATAGAAAGAACAATCAAATGGCGGTAATACAAAATATCTTCTCAAAAGCAGACGGAGGAAAATGTGAGAAATACTCAAATTTAAAAAATTATCTCTACCAGCAACTACCAAAAGATAAAAAGTGGGAAAAAGAAAATTCCACCCACAACTACAAAAGAATGTTAAAATCCAAAACAATTCTTAATTCAGCATAGTCGTGCTCAATGATGATAACAGGTGCATATTTCACATCAAAGTGCTGGATTAATGAAAACTGAAAAGAATCACCACTGGGCAAAAACATGACTATATGACCGAGGGCATAGGAGAAATCAGAAAGTAGTTAGTACACTATGGAAACTAAGAAAGAAATTCTGACGTTTGAATCTAAAGCTTACCCTCAGCAGCAGCTAAGGCCTTCATTTGACTCTTCATAGAGGGGTTCCCGGGTTCTAGAACAATGGCTCTGTTATTAAGAAATGCAATCAATATAACTTCAAAACATAATAGAGAAAAAAAATACTCCAAGCAGCTTAACACATTCAATCTTCCAGCAATTGTTTTGACATGAAAATTTTAAAATGTAACCAAGGATGCATCATTTCAACTATTAAATAGAAGTCGTTCTCGTTAGACCAGATCAGACACATCTTTTTCGCAAGGGGTATAGGCTGAATTTAGCGTTGGTAGACTTTGCTCACATGTTTGGTTCAAATAATGATTAATTCTAAACCACACAAACCTGACCTTAATATAAAAGCAAAATTCACAAATAAACATCTTCTGAGAACTAACCAATTAGATACGTTGACCAATAACTCAAGCACAGAAGTTTAGAGAGACTGACAACCATGTGTGGTTAGCAAACAAAAGAGACTATACCTACAGAAATAACATGTGGTGTTTTCAATTAACAAGTCCTGAAAAGCAAACACACAATCGAGACATACAGCATATTTGGCTGGAGAAAAGATAGAACATGAAATAATCAAACAGTACCACCATAACCCTAAGGAGAAATCAATACACCACAAAGAAATTTCCTGGATATATAACTTAACATACATCTAGTGAAGACAGTTAAACATAGAATTTTGAAATTAGTTGAAATTATATTCGAAAAAAATAATCAAAACATCTAAGAAAGCAATATAAATCTGCTTAGACCAAAAATACTAGATGTATGAAACTTCCTTCATAACAAACTCATTACATACTTGCGTGATTTGAGCTTGCGCTCAGCTTCCTCAGAACGCATTTTAACATGGTTTTTAGTAGATTCATCCAAGATACGATGTACATTCAGCTTTCGCCAGGGACACCCAGATTCGACAAGCAAACCATTTCCATCTTCACCACTTTGACGTTCTTCGTATATGTCACAGAGGTCTCCTGTTTCCCGTGACCATGTAAATCTAAAGTCCTTACCACCTACATCAATAACCTGATGCAATAATGGATTTCTTAGAAATATAATTGATCAAACCATAACAGGTCAAAACCATAGTGAACCAGCAATAAATACAAAATTCAATAGAATCTTATTGCAGCTATTCATATTATAGTCTAATACAAAATGGGACAGTTGTTAAAATTTATAACAGAAAGTACAATTAACAAACCTTTCAGCATAAAACCAGACAACTTCAGGGGAAAAAAAAAGAGGACAAAGGGTAGCAGGTACACAAGTTTTTGAAATAGTGACCGAAAATTCTAGTTGAAATTAAAATCATGGAGATACTGGTTCACAAATCTCAATGACCTTGCTTGCATGCCATTGTGCCTAAGAAATCAACCTAATTCAGACACGGACCAAATTTGTTTCTGGTAGGACAAGAAACTAAGGGTGGCAATCGAGTCCTGAGTGTGTATGTCTGGGGTCCCGCGAGGGGGTTGATTAAAGCCCCAACTTTGTTCCAACATACAACATTGCAAAGGAGAATTCCACTATCGCGGCAAGAAAAAGGAATGAAAAAGTGATCAGTGTCCAAAACAACTCTCAGCTTTCATGAAAGACTTTGCCTGAAACAAGTATTGAAATGATACAAGGGTATGATTCATCAACAATTCAGCTCTCTATGGAAAATCTCAAGTACTATCGGTACTCGAAGTAAAGACGGAAAAAAACCTACTAATTCACACGATTACAATGACCCAGTTGTATTCTCATACGGGCCTAGAAAATAATGACAATTGATCACAGAAACCTTACAACTAATTTAACAACCAAATGCATGGAAAACATAAAGGAATGACTGAATGATAACCACCACAAAATTTATCGAAAATTGTTTAGTTATTCAATTGTAAAGTTTCTGTATACCAACAGCAAAGATGCCATGATTATCAACAAAATAACCGTTACATAGCAGAGAAACAACCATTTCAGCAAGCAAACTCAATAACACCACAAGAGAAAACTTCAAAATTGCAACCAATAAACTCAATTTAACATTAAAAAAAATATATACAAATACATACAAAACGTAAGTAAGATAATTTGATCAAGAAACTCACGTTTCCCGATGGATTATTGGCATTGGCATCAAATTTGATCCGCGCCGTACCTCCCTGAGCCTCAACATGCTTGATCTCCTCCACAAGGTCCGGCGCGAGCCGTATAATCATAGCAAAATTGAGAGGATTGTCAGTGACGAGACTGAAGTTCTCCTCGGACGTAGGAGGGGCGGAGGTGGTGGGTCCAGAGGTCGTGGTGCGGTTACGAGGTCCGGCAGCGCCACCCATGGAGAGGCGTCCGCCGTCTGAAGTGGCGGAGGGCCGGTGGAGCGGCGGCGGGTGGAAATTGGAGTGGGAATTACGCTTGCCGGGACCACCGCCTCCACCTCGGCCGCCTCCGCCGCTTCTGCCAAACTTTCCGGAGCCTCCGTTCATTGTTTGGGCTAACAATTCACTCCAATTCACTTCTTGGTGCGTAGGTTTGTGTTGTGGTTTGGTTCGGTGGTGATCTCGAAGAGGAGGAAAGACTAGTCAGAGGGAATCGAACCTGGAGGTTCCGAGAGGAACAAAATTAGGGATATTATTTTGGGTTAATCTCATTTTACACTCCGAAAGATTATTTGAATCTTAATTTGTACTCTNTCAGAGGGAATCGAACCTGGAGGTTCCGAGAGGAACAAAATTAGGGATATTATTTTGGGTTAATCTCATTTTGTACTTTGAAAGATTGTTCGAATTTTAATTTGTACCCTCAAAGATCAAAAATTTTAAGTTACACCCTCAAAGATAAAAATTTGTATCAATGTATACCTCAANAGATCAAAAATCTCAATTTACACCCTCAAAGATATAAATTTGTATCAATGTGCACCTCAAAAGATCAAAAATCTCAATTTTCACCCTCAAAGATAGAAATTTGTATCAATGTGCATCCTCAAAGATAAAAAATCTCAATTTGCACCTTCAAATATAGAAATTTGTATCAATGTGCACCTAAAAATTAAATTAATAAATTATACCTAGATCCCCTCATGTTTGTCACTTAATCATTTGAACTCCTTCAAATTTAGAATATTCCCTTTATATCTCATGACGTTTGTGCTNTATCAATGTGCATCCTCAAAGATAAAAAATCTCAATTTGCACCTTCAAATATAGAAATTTGTATCAATGTGCACCTAAAAATTAAATTAATAAATTATACCTAAATCCCCNGTGCACATTGATACAAATTTCTATCTTTGAGGGTATAAATTGAGATTTTTTATCTTTGAGGGTACAAATTAAAATTCGAACAATCTTTCGAGGTATAAAATGAGATTAACCTTATTATTTTCCCCTCCAATTATAATCAAAATGATGTTTGATAATTTTAGGGTTAATTACGCTTATACCCTATTCATCACTAAATATTCCTTACCCCTAAATGCTATTGCACGACGGCTTGAACTCAGCCCATGTACCGTTTGAATCAATGAAGAGTCCAACCCTTGATACACCACAGCTCTAGGTAGCAAATTTTCCCTTTTGGGGAAGAACAACATTTATCTATGCATCCACCAGGTAGGTTTGTAANATTTTATTAGACATTCAAATGGTAAACTAGATTTTGAACTTTAGAATATATTGAACCTATAAAATAAAAGGTAATATGAAATTATAATTTTTTATTAGGATAAAATTATATTTTTTAACGGTTATATTAATAGATATCAATGAAAATGAGTTATGTGTTATACGTGCACAAATGTCATAAGATGTAGGAGTAAAATTCTAAATGTGAAGAAGTCTAAATGATTAACTAACAAATATGAGGGGATTTAGGTATAATTTATCAATTTATTTTTAGGTGCACATTGATACAAATTTCTATCTTTGAGGGTGTAAATTGAGATTTTTTATCTTTGGGGTACATATTGATATAAATTTTTATCTTTGAGGGTGCAAATTAAGATTTTTGATCTTTGGGGGTGCACATTGATACAAATTTCTATCTTTGAGGGTATAAATTGAGATTTTTTATCTTTAACGGTACAAATTGAGATTCGAACAATCTTTCGGAGTACAAAATGAGATTAACCCTATTATTTTCCCCTCCAATTATAATCAAAATGATGTTTGATAATTTTAGGGTTAATTACGCTTATACCCTATTCATCACTAAATATTCCTTACCCCTAAATGCTATTGCACGACGGCTTGAACTCAGCCCATGTACCGTTTGAATCAATGAAGAGTCCAACCCTTGATACACCACAGCTCTAGGTAGCAAATTTTCCCTTTTGGGGAAGAACAACATTTATCTATGCATCCACCAGGTAGATTTGTAACTACTTCAATACGAAAATATTTATGTATTATTTGCATATCAGTGATAATTTCAAATAAGTCATATATTAATTCTTGTCCTTAAAAATTATAAAAGAGTAGGGTTAGTGCCTCAATATATGCCACAAAAGGGCCAAGTCATAACAAATGATAAACTATATGACTCAAATTCTAACACAATAACTCTGATGTATCTCGTATTTTTAGATACTTGCACAAGTCAAGAATGCTACAACTCAGATAATAAACAAGTAAGGTAAGTAAATTTATCGATAGAGGTGTATAGTCACTGTCTTAAATAATATATTTATGCCTTTCTGAATACGAAATTCAGTGCAATAGATTATGACTTTTTATCCTTAAATATTTAACTATCGCTTCTCTACAAGCATAAACTCGCAAATATAAGGTATCTCGAACAACTCTTAATCATTTTCAAATCGAATGAAAGGACTTTTCAATCAACGATATACTGGATTGGATTATATAAAAACTGAATGTATATGAAAATGTTGGTTTTGAGAAGAGTAAAACAACTCTAGCAGAAACACCAATTTTTAGACTCTCGATTTCTAGTTTTTGGGTATGTATATATTTCTATATTTCCACCGTTGGTCTTAAATAGATACCGAAGAGTGGTGGTGCTTGATATAAATGAATTTGTATTTTGAAATAAACATCATGTGTTGTGTATGTCTCGAGCAACGACCGGTCTTTTTTCTTATCTTATTTAAGGATATGAAAAAAAGGATATAAAGAATAATATACAGATAAGAAAGCTATCCCAACCTGGCAACAATCCTTCTCATGTGTTAATCCTAGACAAGACACTTAATATAATAAAATATGACACAAGTATGGTTGGATGCCAGTGACTATCATAAAACAAGTTTGTCCTCATTATAGAAATATAAAATGTATATTGAAGAATACGAGATAAAGATATAGACCCACAATGTGAAAGATTGATGGTTGGACCCCAGTTAGAAATAGAAAAAATGGGTTATTAAAGGGGTATCAACTGTCGACTATCTCTCATATAGGCATTTTCANCAAGTCAAGAATGCTACAACTCAGATAATAAACAAGTAAGGTAAGTAAATTTATCGATAGAGGTGTATAGTCACTGTCTTAAATAATATATTTATGCCTTTCTGAATACGAAATTCAGTGCAATAGATTATGACTTTTTATCCTTAAATATTTAACTATCGCTTCTCTACAAGCATAAACTCGCAAATATAAGGTATCTCGAACAACTCTTAATCATTTTCAAATCGAATGAAAGGACTTTTCAATCAACGATATACTGGATTGGATTATATAAAAACTGAATGTATATGAAAATGTTGGTTTTGAGAAGAGTAAAACAATTTTAGCAGAAACACCAATTTTTAGACTCTCGATTTCTAGTTTTTGGGTATGTATATATTTCTATATTTCCACCGTTGGTCTTAAATAGATACCGAAGAGTGGTGGTGCTTGATATAAATGAATTTGTATTTTGAAATAAACATCATGTGTTGTGTATGTCTCGAGCAACGACCGGTCTTTTTTCTTATCTTATTTAAGGATATGAAAAAAAGGATATANCTATTATTTTCCCCTCCAATTATAATCAAAATGATGTTTGATAATTTTAGGGTTAATTACGCTTATACCCTATTCATCACTAAATATTCCTTACCCCTAAATGCTATTGCACGACGGCTTGAACTCAGCCCATGTACCGTTTGAATCAATGAAGAGTCCAACCCTTGATACACCACAGCTCTAGGTAGCAAATTTTCCCTTTTGGGGAAGAACAACATTTATCTATGCATCCACCAGGTAGATTTGTAACTACTTCAATACGAAAATATTTATGTATTATTTGCATATCAGTGATAATTTCAAATAAGTCATATATTAATTCTTGTCCTTAAAAATTATAAAAGAGTAGGGTTAGTGCCTCAATATATGCCACAAAAGGGCCAAGTCATAACAAATGATAAACTATATGACTCAAATTCTAACACAATAACTCTGATGTATCTCGTATTTTTAGATACTTGCACAAGTCAAGAATGCTACAACTCAGATAATAAACAAGTAAGGTAAGTAAATTTATCGATAGAGGTGTATAGTCACTGTCTTAAATAATATATTTATGCCTTTCTGAATACGAAATTCAGTGCAATAGATTATGACTTTTTATCCTTAAATATTTAACTATCGCTTCTCTACAAGCATAAACTCGCAAATATAAGGTATCTCGAACAACTCTTAATCATTTTCAAATCGAATGAAAGGACTTTTCAATCAACGATATACTGGATTGGATTATATAAAAACTGAATGTATATGAAAATGTTGGTTTTGAGAAGAGTAAAACAACTCTAGCAGAAACACCAATTTTTAGACTCTCGATTTCTAGTTTTTGGGTATGTATATATTTCTATATTTCCACCGTTGGTCTTAAATAGATACCGAAGAGTGGTGGTGCTTGATATAAATGAATTTGTATTTTGAAATAAACATCATGTGTTGTGTATGTCTCGAGCAACGACCGGTCTTTTTTCTTATCTTATTTAAGGATATGAAAAAAAGGATATAAAGAATAATATACAGATAAGAAAGCTATCCCAACCTGGCAACAATCCTTCTCATGTGTTAATCCTAGACAAGACACTTAATATAATAAAATATGACACAAGTATGGTTGGATGCCAGTGACTATCATAAAACAAGTTTGTCCTCATTATAGAAATATAAAATGTATATTGAAGAATACGAGATAAAGATATAGACCCACAATGTGAAAGATTGATGGTTGGACACAGTTAGAAATAGAAAAAATGGGTTATTAAAGGGGTATCAACTGTCGACTATCTCTCATATAGGCATTTTCGATCTATGGCAAACTTTTCAATTGCTCTAAGTGCTTTAATTGGTCAAGGTTTTGAGATCAGAGGGAAACTTTAACATGTTATTGCTATCGCTAAGTTACCATTATGGTCTTAAGGAAATCAGTCATACCTGGTGGCCTATGTCCCATTTTGTCTCTTGTTTTTGCATTGGAAAAATATAAAAAGGCAATGGGCTCTAATTTTCTAATGTGATAGTGTTTGAGATTTGGTAATATAAACTGTGTTATTTCTGGTCAGCTCGTATTTGTCTATGTTTTTTTACCTTTTCTCTTTTGTTTAGAGACTTGTCAACGGTGGCAGTGGTGGTGGTGGTTCGCAAAATAGATTTTCTCTTTTATCTTGAATGACAAGTGTCATTATTCTCCTGGTCCACATTGGCACGGTGGAGCGATGTCACAACTATAAGAAAATCATTGGTTTTGGGGAGTCAAGACTCGAAAAAAGAGTACTTCCTTCTTCTCTAATAATAAAGCAAGTTTGGGTTCAAAAACTCCTTAAGGTTGATTAGTGAGTTCTTAAAAAATTAATACAATTAATGATCGGCCATTCCATTTATGTTATTAGCAAGTAGACGATGCAAATCTATACTTTCTATATTTCAATCGGATACCAAATGCTCGGATGCATTCGAAAGCCACAAGATGACTTACAAAAGTATTTTTTTCTAGGTTTGTCATATTGTGTCTTCGTAACAAATGATCCATTTATTGATGGGTGGACGACAGAGATTGAATTGAGCGTTGTGGATTCATAATCCACTGTCTTTATTCACTTGACTACATTTGCCTTCATCCCCACACATATTTCAATTTCTATATATGATCAAATCTTTTTTGAACTCCCCTATAACCGTTGTTTGCCCCAAATGTCATCAATTTCCAAGCTCAAGTGCCCATTCATCCAACCTATTACCTATTAATTCGTCCAACCCATCAATAAATAAATGGATTAGGTACCTATATTAATAAATATGAGTTCTAAATGAATTGAGTAATATGATTCATTTTAATTAAGCGGGTCAATATGGATTATAAATGGATACCCATTGAATTGAGTATTTATCTTTTTATTAAATAACACAAGTAATAAAATTAAATAAATATATTAATATACCAAGAAATACACACATTATTACACCAAAAAATATACAAACTAGTACACGAAAAGCACACACACTAATACACCACCCATGACCTGTGGGGTTAATCCATGACCCACAGGTCGACCCAAGACTTCTGCTCCCATAACCCACGAGTTGACCCACAATCCATGGGTTGACTCATAACCAATGGGTCGACACATGACCCACGAATCAACTCATAGCCCACAATCAACCCGACCCATTATGTGTGTATTTTTTTTATTAAATGTGTTTTAGTTTTTATGTTAATATATGTGTATGTATTTTTGGTGTATTGGTGTGTATTTGTGTATATTTTTAGTGTATTGGTTGTGTGTGTGTTAGTGTGTGCGTATGTTTATATTATGGTGTACTACAAATGTGTGTGTGTGTTTTGTGTTGGACCAAAACAGATTTTTTAAGTGTAAAAAATTGAATTTTGGTCGACTTTGAACCTAAATTAAAATGGGACCTGATTGTTATTTTGAATAAAATTTTGTGGGTTCATATTCTGCTCTGTGAGGATAATAATTTAGTACATTTACTTACTCAAATTGAGTAATGAATGAATGAAAAAATAGACTTCAAAATGACCCTCTTGAGATGTGGGAATAAAGGTTATGCAATGTGAAATTTGACACCAATTCCACATTGGTTGAGGAAAAAATCAACATGGACATATATAGACCAAGTTTATTTTATAAGATTGGGCCCCAAGAAGTGTCACAGTTTTATGAGCAGAGCGAGCACTTACATGCCTTTGGTTCGACCACACNAAGTCAAGAATGCTACAACTCAGATAATAAACAAGTAAGGTAAGTAAATTTATCGACAGAGGTGTATAGTCACTGTCTTCAAGAATATATTTATGCCCTTCTGAATACGAAATTCAGTGCAATAGGTTATGACTTTTTATCCTTAAATATTTAACTATCACTTCTCTACAAGCATAAACTCANCAGCCTGCTGGACATTTCTTTCTCAGAGATAGTAGCATGCTCCTTGGTCATGGCTTGAGTGGGCATGGCATCTTCTACATTTGCATGGCCCTTAGTAAGATTACCACTTCCGAATGGGGATGCACTTGCACCAGACTGCTCTGGTAGACACGGCACGGGGGAAGCTGAGGGCCTGCCCTTTGAGGGAGTTGTTGAGGACAATCCACTTTTATAAACAGATTTGGGAGGTCCTCCCACTGTAATTAATGCATGACAATGATGGAAGAAATACAAAATCAAACAAAAACCAAAGCCAATAAAAAATATCCACCTTTAAGAATTTGATCGTTAAAATCTAACCACTTGTATGTTGCATGGGTTTCATCTACCATACCAAGTGAAGCATCAAATACAGTAAAATCCGAAAGGAATTACAAAATAATATAATTACCCAGAGGTGGTTCAGTTTTTTGCTTTTTGAACGGAGGATCTTTCTTTTGTTTAAAAGGCATTCTCCATGGATTGGCTGCAACAAGAAAATAAGGTTAGAAATGAACTTAAGCAAACAGGTGCTCACTTCAAAAGGTAGAGGTCCTAAGTGAGTAGTCTCCCTTAGGGCCCTCCCATAAACCTACCCAAGTAAATGTCTGGTCCATTTGGGATGGGGAACTGCATGTGCCTAGGAGAATTATTCACTTCCTCCAGGAGGCTCAGATACCAACTTCTTGGCAATCTACACTAGCTTGGTTATTAACCAATATGGTTCATACAACCTAAAATTTGGAACTATTTGCACCAAGGGACTGTCATCATATTTGAGCACACAACTTTGAGTTGTTAGCCCGAGTTTTGTATACTGGTTCTTCAGAATGAATTTACACATGAAAGCCTTTAAGCATATGATCATCTATCACAAGAAGATTATATTAGTATAAATGTTATATCCAAATAAATATAATAGGAAATCAATAGTGAAACTGTAAGCCTCAGATGTGTAGACTTTTAATTCACATAGGTCACACAAAAACTCCCTTGGTCGTTTTCAAGTTATAAATCTTCCTGACCATCATTGATACATAATATCCAATCAGTTACCAGACATGGAGCCATGCAGATCATGTTGCCTTAGTTGTATTTTCTTAAACGTGANTCTCTCATATAGGCATTTTCGATCTATGGCAAACTTTTCAATTGCTCTAAGTGCTTTAATTGGTCAAGGTTTTGAGATCAGAGGGAAACTTTAACATGTTATTGCTATCGCTAAGTTACCATTATGGTCTTAAGGAAATCAGTCATACCTGGTGGCCTATGTCCCATTTTGTCTCTTGTTTTTGCATTGGAAAAATATAAAAAGGCAACGGGCTCTAATTTTCTAATGTGATAGTGTTTGAGATTTGGTAATATAAACTGTGTTATTTCTGGTCAGCTCGTATTTGTCTATGTTTTTTTACCTTTTCTCTTTTGTTTAGAGACTTGTCAACGGTGGCAGTGGTGGTGGTGGTTCGCAAAATAGATTTTCTCTTTTATCTTGAATGACAAGTGTCATTATTCTCCTGGTCCACATTGGCTACGGTGGAGCGATGTCACAACTATAAGAAAATCATTGGTTTTGGGGAGTCAAGACTCGAAAAAAGAGTACTTCCTTCTTCTCTAATAATAAAGCAAGTTTGGGTTCAAAAACTCCTTAAGGTTGATTAGTGAGTTCTTAAAAAATTAATACAATTAATGATCGGCCATTCCATTTATGTTATTAGCAAGTAGACGATGCAAATCTATACTTTCTATATTTCAATCGGATACCAAATGCTCGGATGCATTCGAAAGCCACAAGATGACTTACAAAAGTATTTTTTTCTAGGTTTGTCATATTGTGTCTTCGTAACAAATGATCCATTTATTGATGGGTGGACGACAGAGATTGAATTGAGCGTTGTGGATTCATAATCCACTGTCTTTATTCACTTTACTACATTTGCCCTCATCCCCACACATATTTCAATTTCTATATATGATCAAATCTTTTTTGAACTCCCCTATAACCGTTGTTTGCCCCAAATGCCATCAATTTCCAAGCTCAAGTGCCCATTCATCCAACCTATTACCTATTACCTATTAATTCGTCCAACCCATCAATAAATAAATGGATGAGGTACCTATATTAATAAATATGAGTTCTAAATGAATTGAGTAATATGATTCATTTTAATTAAGCGGGTCAATATGAATTATAAATGGATACCCATTGAATTGAGTATTTATCTTTTTATTAAATAACACAAGTAATAAAATTAAATAAATATATTAATATACCAAAAAATACACACACTATTACACCAAAAAATATACAAACTAGTACACGAAAAGTACACACACTAATACACCACCCATGACCTGTGGGGTTAATCCATGACCCACAGGTCGACCCATGACTTCTGCTCCCATAACCCACGAGTTGACCCACAATCCATGGGTTGACTCATAACCAATGGGTCGACACATAACCCACGAATCAACTCATAGCCCACAATCAACCCGACCCATTATGTGTGTATTTTTTTTATTAAATGTGTTTTAGTTTTTATGTTAATATATGTGTATGTATTTTTGGTGTATTGGTGTGTATTTGTGTATATTTTTAGTATATTGGTTTGTGTGTGTTAGTGTGTGCGTATGTTTATATTATGGTGTACTACAAATGTGTGTGTGTGTGTTTTGTGTTGGACCAAAACAGATTTTTTAAGTGTAAAAAATTGAATTTTGATCGACTTTGAACCTAAATTAAAATGGGACCTGATTGTTATTTTGAATAAAATTTTGTGGGTTCATATTCTGCTCTGTGAGGATAATAATTTAGTACATTTACTTACTCAAATTGAGTAATGAATGAATCAAAAAATAGGCTTCAAAGTGACCCTCTTGAGATGTGGGAATAAAGGTTATGCAATGTGAAATTTGACACCAATTCCACATTGGTCGAGAAAAAAATCAACATGGACATATATAGACCAAGTTTATTTTATAAAATTGGGCCCCAAGAGNATGTGGGAATAAAGGTTATGCAATGTGAAATTTGACACCAATTCCACATTGGTTGAGGAAAAAATCAACATGGACATATATAGACCAAGTTTATTTTATAAGATTGGGCCCCAAGAAGTGTCACAGTTTTATGAGCAGAGCGAGCACTTACATGCCTTTGGTTCGACCACACATGCGTCTGCGCGTCGCCTGCCCCCCTCGCCACAACCACGACCTGGCCAGACTCGAGTATGGGTGTGGTTTAGACTGAGCCCTATTTTTTTGGAGAAAATTTATTTAATTGGACGAAAATTTCTAAACCGAAATTTAATTTTCGATATCCATTGGATCGCACTGGTTTAGATGTGTTGCTTCCCTCCGGTCCGAAATTGAATTGTGATTGTTCATATAAAACAATTACAAGTGATGTCTACTGGTTGACATTTGTCTTCCTGGATTGTGTCTTTTAGTATGATGGCTATTTGAAAAGTCACCAAACTATCTATACATTTTCAGACTCATTAACATTTTGCATCAATTCATTTGTTCAGTCCATTTTCGACATTAAGGCAAACATTAGTGCATTACAGTCTACATATCGGCATTAAGGCAGTGTCTTGGAGAGTGCACAACACAAATTTTAGTTCGCTGGACGAGTAGATTAGAGTGTTACTTCTGCTCGTGTAAATATTATGGTATCTTGGGAGACAGACGCTCGGTATTCCATAAGCAACGTGTGTGGGGGCGAAATTTATTTTAAGGACATAGTGTCAAACTCTAACCTTGATCTACATCAACTTTAATAATAGTTCTTGTTCTACAACAGGATTAGTATTTATATTAGTTTGACAAAAAGTTACGTATAACTCTTTTATTTCTGTGTAACTCTTTACTGCTATTATTTCGTTAGAGTGACTCATTTATGTGTAACTCTTTACATGGTTTAAATTAAAAATTTCAATCAGCGATTTTGCATTATTTGGATACCAGAAACAACATTTGGGTGTACTAATGTGTCTATTAATAATTTTAATTATTTTTTAGTTTAATTGGTTTAACCCAACCCGTTATAAGTTCAACCAATTATAACTTATTTACTACGTGAGTGAAAAATGAATCGAATTTGTTTTAACCCAATCCAATTTAATTCAATCTGGAACCAACCCAACTCACACATTTGCCACCTCTAGTTACAATAAATAATTTTTAGCCAATGTGTTTTATGAGAGATAATATGGAGTAAGGGCACCTGTTTTCTTCTCCTATGGAGCTTTGAAAAACAAAAAAATCAACGGTAGGCTAGTAAGTGAGCAAACTACCAACGAATCCTTTCACTCCTATAACAGAAACTAAAAGTTGCAAACAAAAAAATAAAGCTTGCTTGGGATTTTGAAGGTTTCACACCTACTTGTTGTATCTTCCGTCATAATACAGCCAATCGACGCGAGAGATTGACTTAGGCGAATAGCCTATTTAAATAGAATCACAAATTAAGATTGCTTTATTGCTACTTCAAAACTTGCCTGCTACCCTTGTTTTACTTACTCTTATTTAGTTGGCGTTATCTTTGTCAAACAAGAACTGATAGTTTGGTTGCTTGTTTTCAAATCCCCCGAGACTTTTTCATTTAATTTTAACAATTTATCCCGCTCCTCAAAACATAAACGAATGGAGTTGATTTTCTAACATTCACAAAAAAAGTAATTATTAAAAAAATGATTGCAAATTACATCCTGAAAGATCGTTCGAATCTCAATTTACACCCTCAAAGATAAAAAATATCAATTTACACCCTAAAAGATAGAAATTTGTATTAATGTGCACCACCAAAGATCAAAAATCTCAATTTACACCCTCAAAGATAAAAATTTGTATCAATATACACATAAAATTAACCATTGTCAGTTTGCTGCCTAAAACTAAATTGATAAATTATATCTAAATCATCTCATGCTTGTCATTTAATCATTTGAACCTCTGCACATTTAGAATATTACTCATATATTTCATGCCGTTTGTGCACGTGTAACATATAACCCCTATACTCTAAAGTTCAAAATCTATCTTACCATTTGAATGTGTAATAGAATAAAGGGTCGCACATTAAGTAATCTATTGCATTGGATATAAAAAATATTATATAAATATCTATATTCTGGACATTCAGATGGTAAACTTGATTTTAAACTTTAGAGTATATCGGACCCACAAAATAAAAGGTAATATNTTTAATAATAGTTCTTGTTCTACAACAGGATTAGTATTTATATTAGTTTGACAAAAAGTTACGTATAACTCTTTTATTTCTGTGTAACTCTTTACTGCTATTATTTCGTTAGAGTAACTCGTTTATGTGTAACTCTTTACATGGTTTAAATTAAAAATTTCNGTTATGCAATGTGAAATTTGACACCAATTCCACATTGGTTGAGGAAAAAATCAACATGGACATATATAGACCAAGTTTATTTTATAAGATTGGGCCCCAAGAAGTGTCACAGTTTTATGAGCAGAGCGAGCACTTACATGCCTTTGGTTCGACCACACATGCGTCTGCGCGTCGCCTGCCCCCCTCGCCACAACCACGACCTGGCCAGACTCGAGTATGGGTGTGGTTTAGACTGAGCCCTATTTTTTTGGAGAAAATTTATTTAATTGGACGAAAATTTCTAAACCGAAATTTAATTTTCGATATCCATTGGATCGCACTGGTTTAGATGTGTTGCTTCCCTCCGGTCCGAAATTGAATTGTGATTGTTCATAGAAAACAATTACAAGTGATGTCTACTGGTTGACATTTGTCTTCCTGGATTGTGTCTTTTAGTATGATGGCTATTTGAAAAGTCACCAAACTGTCTATACATTTTCAGACTCATTAACATTTTGCATCAATTCATTTGTTCAGTCCATTTTCGACATTAAGGCAAACATTAGTGCATTACAGTCTACATATCGGCATTAAGGCAGTGTCTTGGAGAGTGCACAACACAAATTTTGGTTCGCTGGACGAGTAGATTAGAGTGTTACTTCTGCTCGTGTAAATATTATGGTATCTTGGGAGCTCGGTATTCCATAAGCAACGTGTGTGGGGGCGAAATTTATTTTAAGGACATAGTGTCAAACTCTAACCTTGATCTACATCAACTTTAATAATAGTTCTTGTTCTACAACAGGATTAGTATTTATATTAGTTTGACAAAAAATTACATATAACTCTTTCATTTCTGTGTAACTCTTTACTGCTATTATTTCGTTAGAGTGACTCATTTATGTGTAACTCTTTACATGGTTTAAATTAAAAATTTTAATCAGCGATTTTGCATTATTTGGATACCAGAAACAACATTTGGGTGTACTAATGTGTCTATTAATAATTTTAATTATTTTTTAGATTAATTGGTTTAACCCAACCCGTTATAAGTTCAACCGATTATAACTTATTTACTACGTGAGTGAAAAATGAATTGAATTTGTTTTAACCCAATCCAATTTAATCCAATCCAGAACCAACCCAACTCACACATTTGCCACCTCTAGTTACAATAAATAATTTTTAGCCAATGTGTTTTATGAGAGATAATATGGAGTAAGGGCACCTGTTTTCTTCTCCTATGGAGCTTTGAAAAACAAAAAAATCAACGGTAGGCTAGTAAGTGAGCAAACTACCAACGAATCCTTTCACTCCTATAACAGAAACTAAAAGTTGCAAACAAAAAAATAAAGCTTGCTTGGGATTTTGAAGGTTTCACACCTACTTGTTGTATCTTCCGTCATAATACAGCCAATCGACGCGAGAGATTGACTTAGGCGAATAGCCTATTTAAATAGAATCACAAATTAAGATTGCTTTATTGCTACTTCAAAACTTGCCTGCTACCCTTGTTTTACTTACTCTTATTTAGTTGGCGTTATCTTTGTCAAACAAGAACTGATAGTTTGGTTGCTTGTTTTCAAATCCCCCGAGACTTTTTCATTTAATTTTAACAATTTATCCCGCTCCTCAAAACATAAACGAATGGAGTTGATTTTCTAACATTCACAAAAAAAGTAATTATTAAAAAAATGATTGCAAATTACATCCTGAAAGATCGTTCGAATCTCAATTTACACCCTCAAAGATAAAAAATATCAATTTACACCCTAAAAGATAGAAATTTGTATTAATGTGCACCACCAAAGATCAAAAATCTCAATTTACACCCTCAAAGATAAAAATTTGTATCAATATACACATAAAATTAACCATTGTCAGTTTGCTGCCTAAAACTAAATTGATAAATTATATCTAAATCATCTCATGCTTGTCATTTAATCATTTGAACCTCTGCACATTTAGAATATTACTCATATATTTCATGCCGTTTGTGCACGTGTAACATATAACCCCTATACTCTAAAGTTCAAAATCTATCTTACCATTTGAATGTGTAATAGAATAAAGGGTCGCACATTAAGTAATCTATTGCATTGGATATAAAAAATATTATATAAATATCTATATTCTGGACATTCAGATGGTAAACTTGATTTTAAACTTTAGAGTATATCGGACCCACAAAATAAAAGGTAATATGAATTATAATTTTTTATTAGGATAAAATCATATTTTTTAACGATTATATTAACAGATATCAACGAAAAGGGGTTACGTGTTACACGTACACAAACGTCATGAGATGTAGGAGTAATATTCTAACTATAAAAGGATCTAAATAATTAACCGACAAGTATGAGGGAATCTAGATATAATTTATCAATTTAGTTTTAAGTACACATTGATACAAATTTCTATCTTTGAGGGTTTAAATTGAATTTTTTTATTTTTGAGGGTGCACATTGACACAAATTTTTATTTTTAAAGGTACAAATTAAAATTTTTAATATTTGAGAATACAAATTAAAATTTAAACGATCTTTCGGGCAACTTACAATTAACCCTTAATGAAAATGAATATTTTGAAATTAGAGTTATTTCACAGAAGGCCCATGCCCAGATCCTAGGCCCATTAAAATAGATATTCTTATTTTTGTTTTTTCTGTTATTTATTTGTAATTTTGGTTTGATCCCTCAAATTTATACATATAGCTATGTGATGCGATTCGATGAACATCTATTAACTTTGTGGGCTTTGCCCTTTCTTCAAGTAAACAGTAAAACACCAGCTCTTTCCCGATCCTGCACACCATCGAAGCTCTGAAAACCATGCCGACAGGTCAGATTTCAAACCCTTCACCTTTTGTTTGTACCTCTATCTCTCCATTATTATCAAATCAANACGAGTAGATTAGAGTGTTACTTCTGCTCGTGTAAATATTATGGTATCTTGGGAGCTCGGTATTCCATAAGCAACGTGTGTGGGGGCGAAATTTATTTTAAGGACATAGTGTCAAACTCTAACCTTGATCTACATCAACTTTAATAATAGTTCTTGTTCTACAACAGGATTAGTATTTATATTAGTTTGACAAAAAATTACATATAACTCTTTCATTTCTGTGTAACTCTTTACTGCTATTATTTCGTTAGAGTGACTCATTTATGTGTAACTCTTTACATGGTTTAAATTAAAAATTTTAATCAGCGATTTTGCATTATTTGGATACCAGAAACAACATTTGGGTGTACTAATGTGTCTATTAATAATTTTAATTATTTTTTAGATTAATTGGTTTAACCCAACCCGTTATAAGTTCAACCGATTATAACTTATTTACTACGTGAGTGAAAAATGAATTGAATTTGTTTTAACCCAATCCAATTTAATCCAATCCAGAACCAACCCAACTCACACATTTGCCACCTCTAGTTACGATCAATAATTTTTAGCCAATGTGTTTTATGAGAGATAATATGGAGTAAGGGCACCTGTTTTCTTCTCCTATGGAGCTTTGAAAAACAAAAAAAATCAACGGTAGGCTAGTAAGTGAGCAAACTACCAACGAATCCTTTCACTCCTATAACAGAAACTAAAAGTTGCAAACAAAAAAATAAAGCTTGCTTGGGATTTTGAAGGTTTCACACCTACTTGTTGTATCTTCCGTCATAATACAGCCAATCGACGCGAGAGATTGACTTAGGCGAATAGCCTATTTAAATAGAATCACAAATTAAGATTGCTTTATTGCTACTTCAAAACTTGCCTGCTACCCTTGTTTTACTTACTCTTATTTAGTTGGCGTTATCTTTGTCAAACAAGAACTGATAGTTTGGTCGCTTGTTTTCAAATCCCCCGAGACTTTTTCATTTAATTTTAACAATTTATCCCGCTCCTCAAAACATAAACGAATGGAGTTGATATTCTAACATTCACAAAAAAAGTAATTTTTAAAAAAATGATTGCAAATTACATCTCCAAAGATCGTTCGAATCTCAATTTACACCCTCAAAGATAAAAAATATCAATTTACACCCTAAAAGATAGAAATTTGTATTAATGTGCACCACCAAAGATCAAAAATCTCAATTTACACCCTCAAAGATAAAAATTTGTATCAATATACACATAAAATTAACCATTGTCAGTTTGCTGCCTAAAACTAAATTGATAAATTATATCTAAATCATCTCATGCTTGTCATTTAATCATTTGAACCTCTGCACATTTAGAATATTACTCATATATTTCATGCCGTTTGTGCACGTGTAACATATAACCCCTATACTCTAAAGTTCAAAATCTATCTTACCATTTGAATGTGTAATAGAATAAAGGGTCGCACATTAAGTAATCTATTGCATTGGATATAAAAAATATTATATAAATATCTATATTCTGGACATTCAGATGGTAAACTTGATTTTAAACTTTAGAGTATATCGGACCCACAAAATAAAAGGTAATATGAATTATAATTTTTTATTAGGATAAAATCATATTTTTTAACGATTATATTAACAGATATCAACGAAAAGGGGTTACGTGTTACACGTACACAAACGTCATGAGATGTAGGAGTAATATTCTAACTATAAAAGGATCTAAATAATTAACCGACAAGTATGAGGGAATCTAGATATAATTTATCAATTTAATTTTAAGTACACATTGATACAAATTTCTATCTTTGAGGGTTTAAATTGAATTTTTTTATTTTTGAGGGTGCACATTGACACAAATTTTTATTTTTAAAGGTACAAATTAAAATTTTTAATATTTGAGAATACAAATTAAAATTTAAACGATCTTTCGGGCAACTTACAATTAACCCTTAATGAAAATGAATATTTTGAAATTAGAGTTATTTCACAGAAGGCCCATGCCCAGATCCTAGGCCCATTAAAATAGATATTCTTATTTTTGTTTTTTCTGTTATTTATTTGTAATTTTGGTTTGATCCCTCAAATTTATACATATAGCTATGTGATGCGATTCGATGAACATCTATTAACTTTGTGGGCTTTGCCCTTTCTTCAAGTAAACAGTAAAACACCAGCTCTTTCCCGATCCTGCACACCATCGAAGCTCTGAAAACCATGCCGACAGGTCAGATTTCAAACCCTTCACCTTTTGTTTGTACCTCTATCTCTCCATTATTATCAAATCAAAGCTAACAAGCTCATATTCCCCGTTTTTGTTTTTGTTTTTGTTTTTTTTTTTTTTTGCAATATTCAAATCGTTGGCTTCTTTTGAGTTATAGTTCATCGTTCACTTATTGATTGTAAAATTGCTATTCGTTTGATATGGAACAGCTTTGAGTGTGGCTCGTATTGTGATTTTGTAATTGGGAGTTGGGTCTCGGCGATTTTCGACTTCACTGTTTGGATTAAATGGGTTCAAGTGTATGATTTAATGTCATATATCATCTATTTGGGTCCTTTAAAAAGCTGTTTTTGTTATTATGGGTGTATTCGATATTTACTATTCCTGTTTTGGACTCCTAGAAGCATTGTTTGACGAGTTATTCTTTACTGGCATGCGATGGATCATCAATGATTTCATTTTTATGTTGCTAATTTTGCTATCCAACTCGATTAGTATAATTTATGATGGTGGGACTTGGCGCAATGGTAAGGTTACTCGATCTTGAGATCATGGTTTCAAGTCGTGGGAACAGCACAGCCTCTCTGCTTGCAGGGTAAGGCTGAGTACATCTAACCCTCCCTAGCCCCTGCAATGAGAGGAGTCTTGTATATTGGGTACACCTTTTATGATGTTAAATTGTCGTGTCTGTTAGTGTGAGGAAAATGTGCATATAATTCCAGTCTCTGAAAAATTGGCAGTTACTGCAATTGTTGTTCTTAGGGGAATTTAGTAAAATAGTGAACTGAGTTTCCCTATTGCCACCCTATTCTTCCACACACTTCTCACAGCTTTTAGTTGTGGAAATCACTTTTTCATATATGTAGAGTATGCTTACTCCAGGTATTTACACGCACACGCACTTGTGCTCATTTAAAAATTTGTATGGTTATATTAATTCCAGCGGTCTGTTCTTCTGGCTCAAAAATTTTGTGATGCTAAAGGAAGACCTTATGTTATACTTATCAGGTCAATTCAGATGTAGTGGTAACATATTCTCATGTTGATGGGACATTGGGTGATTTTAGGAATAATACCCACATGAATTCCATTTCATAAATGCTAATGTGGACAGACAATATTTGGCAGCCTTATAGTGTTATATACTTTGGCTGTCATCGATTTGCTATGTGAAGGGACCATTGCCTAGGAAATGATGCACCCACTCAATGAGGACCTGGAGCCTGCACAGTTCTATAAGTTGGCCGTGCCCAGGAATCACAGGGATATGGTATCAATGGCCTAGAGTGCCAATCACTTGGATATTACAGATGGCATATATACGGGGATTGGTTATTTTACCAGACATTATTTGCTCTTTGTGATGTACAATTTCAGTTTTCTCTTCATGTACGGCAGTTGGAGGCTATATCTTTGATCTCTTCATGTCTTCCACTTTTTACTTCTTTGATGCATGTGAACTTACTGATTTGGTAAGGCTGAGAAAAATGTTCTGAATGATGTCTTTCATTTTTCATATACGCTCTCAAGAATATAGTTCAATGTTTGTCAATGCATCGACTTAGTAATTTCATTACATTTAGGGCTCTCTCTGACACCGTGATGTGGTAATTTTGTTGCAGTGAGTGTAAAATGGCAAAAGGAACTGTTTCCAGCTGTGGAAATTGACACTAGCCAGCCCCCAATTGTTTTCAAATGCCAGTTGTATGACCTAACAGGAGTGCCCCCTGAAAGGCAGAAGATTATGGTAAAAGGTGGTTTACTAAAGGTAATGAAATAGTATTACATGAGTAGCCTGCGTTAATTTAATTTTTGACATGTTAAATTTCATTCAGATTTGTGAAAATCAACTTGATGATTTATCTGAGGCAGTTGTTTAACCTTCTTGACTTATTTTTCTTCACAATATAGGATGACGCAGATTGGTCTACATTAGGAGTAAAAGAGGTGAACCATTTCTACACTATGCATACACTTACATTGAATGCACTCATAGGGATCAGTTACTATAAATCCGGGTATTCTCTCTTTTGCTAGGGTCAAAAGTTGATGATGATGGGAACAGCAGGTGAGATTGTGAAGGCCCCAGAGAAAAGCCCTGTTTTTGTGGAAGACCTTCCAGAAGAAGAACAAGTAGTTTCTTTGGTAAGGTTATTGACTACTTCATTGGGTGTTTTAATCTGGCAATATGGTTGTATCCTGTGATTTTGCTCTATATAATATCCTCATGGCCATTGTAGTTTCTTTGTCATTGCTCTTTCTAATGCATGAAGTCTCCCTATTTATTGTTGTTCCTATCTAAAAACTAAGGCATTGCTGCATCATTACGTTCTTGGTGTACTTTATGGTTATAAATGAGGTTGAAACAAAGGGGGTTGATTACTAACCTCATTTTCCCTTATTGCCTTCATGAGGAGAGGTTTAGAATTTTTTAGCTGAATTTAAATCGAATTAGCTTGGAATTTCCAATCCTATTTGTTTCAATTTGTAAATTATGTATTGTGTAACATCTTGTTTGATACATAAATCTGATTTCATAATTTGCACTCTGCAGATGGCAATCTTGCGATTGACAACTCTAAATACCAATTTTTTGTCCCAACTATTTTTGGTCAGCTAGTCTTGATTCGGACACAACATTAATATCATTAAGAGTTCCTGCTATGCCTATTTTGCTTATTTTTGTTTGGTTTGTGTCTGCATTACCTATTTTCCTGAAATGTACTATAGCCTTGTCCATTGATTTCTTTTTGTTAATTTTTTGCTTAATGTTTTTTATTTTAATTGCTTGAGACTTTAGCTAATGTCCTTTCTGCTTCCAGGGCCATTCTGCTGGCTTATTTAATCTAGGAAATACTTGCTACATGAACTCTACAATCCAGTGCTTGCATTCAGTTCCAGAGCTGAAGTCTGCTTTGATCGAGTGAGTTCTCTTCTTCTGTGCAAGAGCATTCCTGTTCAAAAACTTATTTTCAATTCTGGTCTTGCTATGCTATTTTCTTGTTTTTATGGTTTGTGTTGTCTTTGTATGGGAGATATGTGTTCTCAGTAAATGACTGACTTATTGTGCGTGATGTACTATTGTGATTAGATATCCACATTCTGGTAGAAGCAATGATTTGGATCAGTCTTCTCATCTATTAACTGCTGCAACACGGGATTTATTCAGTGAGCTTGATCGAAATGTGAAGCCAGTGGCACCAATGCAGTTCTGGCTGGTAAATATACTTATTTTTCTGTTTATCTGTTATATATGATTTATTCATTCATTCATTCATCCATCATGGGCTTCTCATTACAAGTGAAAACAAAGTTTAATGCTATAAAGATAGAAGATTTTCCTATAGCCTGCTGAAGTATCTTAATTAATACATCTTATTGAATGAGAAGGACAAGTCAGCACTGCCACAAATCTATGCATCAGGCAGCGTGCGGTGACTTGGCAGCAAAAATGTATTTGAGTTTTTGCAGAGAATTCCCGTTGCTCATATTTAGAGCTCAAGAAAAAAAATGTGTTCTTGCTAGAAAAGTAGTCCAAATTCATTAGAATCAGGGCTTACTTATTGCTCTCTGTAGATGTTATAATGAGACAGATACTTGTCTGATACGTCCATTCCTTACAATATAAGAGAACCACTAATGTGATATAGATGCGGATTCACCACTTTGGACGTGCCTCAGTTCTAACTTAGTTACCCTAGAGATATGGAGTATTATTGACTGAAATTTTATCACTGATTTGATAATGGGAAGAGGTGGACTTTTGTTTATTTGGAATCTTTTTAGGGCGGGCTTGCTCTGAAGAAAATGTTTCTGACTACATTGAGTATGGATTATTGGTTGCCATATTGCAGTTCTTGTTGATAACTAAGGCAAAAGAAGTCATACATTAATTGAGACATTCGTGTTAACAGGTATTGCGGAAGAAGTATCCTCAATTTGGTCAGCTGCATAATGGATCCTTCATGCAACAGGTTTTCTCATAGGCTGTCAAAGGCTGTCAGCCTAATCTGAGGAATTTGCTGAATTTTTTTTGACCTATTATTTTAAATAATGACAGGATGCTGAAGAATGTTGGACACAACTTTTGTACACCCTTTCTCAGTCTCTTAAATCACCAAGTTCAAGGTAGTATGCTTTCACTGTTGGATACATGTGGCGTATGAATGGATTGTCTGTGTGACTGATGTTGGATAAATTCCATACTGAAAATTTATTTAGTCTTTATCCTGTTCTTTTTTTTTCCATGCCACTGTCCCCTTCCTACACTCTCCAGTGCCTTTTCAGGCCACGAGACTTGGTACCCTGTTGTTCTTTATCCTTGCACTCGAAAACTTTGCTCTTACTTTAATCTGGTGTGTAGCAGTGTAACTAAATGAAGTTATCTTATAATCAGTACTTTTTTAGATAGGGTGCCTTATAAACTTACATTTTCCTGGCATCTATACAGATAGCTGGTTGTCTTTGTTATCTTCATTTTATAAGTCCTTCATTGTAATTTAAATGCAGTGAAAATCCCGATCCACTCAAGGCACTTTTTGGCATTGAACTTGTTAGCAGGTATTTTAGTTATCGTAACTGTTATTTTGTCAGGAAGCAATACATTTATTTTAAGTGTACGTATCTGGTTTAATATTGTTGGAGCTTTATTTACAGAGTTTCCATTAACATCTTTCCTTAATTGTGACAGTAGATAACTTTCGCATGATACAATCTAACCAGATATTTTGTTTTATTACTGCATCTATTTCCCTCTCTCTCTGTCTCTCTCACACACACACACACACTCACTAAGCTTTTTTTTTTTTTCTTGCTTCTCCACTCTGTCTCACTAAATTTTTTTTATTTGCTTCCCTCATCAGTTTTCACTTTGGGTAAACTAATTAACTGTTTAATTAGGTTTATGATGTGTTCCATTATGCTAAGTAAATTACATTTCTCTGTTAGAATATTGATTCTATAGTCAAACACCTTCTGAAGGAATTCAGTCTTACGTTTTTGGTTAAGGATCTGGTTAAATAAATGGTAGATCTTAATTGAATTGGCAATTTTTATAGCTAAGTTGGAAAGTCAAACAGTAAAATTGCAACTTTATCTTGAATTTACACTTTTGAGAAGTTCAGTTGTCCGTTCTCATTACATGGGATGGATTTTTTAGTTTCTTGTTACTGCTTATGGATCAAGCATCAGATGCCTAATTGGACCAAATGGCAAATATTAGAAAATTTATGGGTCAGACACTAGTTACTTGATGGCTAATCAGCTCTTACGTTGTTCCTCCAGAGAGTGGGATTCTCTTTGTGATGGTAGAGGCTAAGGGATCAGATCAAACCATTACGATCGCAGCTGATGAACAAAATATCTCTGTCAGCATATCCAGTAGACCTCTCTTCCGAAATTTTTAAAGATATACCAATGCTTAAGTGAACCAACGGGATTATCAAAAAAGTTTCGATTTCTGTTTCCACACAACCAGTGGAGCTAATTTCTGATTCTTTGTTTGCTCTTTATCAAAGTTTTTATGTTTGCGCTGCAGTCTAGAAAAGTAGGATTTTCTTGTTTGATATTTTTATGGGCTGGTTGATGCCCAGAAGTGGTTTGTTTGTTTATCGTAAAACAGTAGCTCTTTATGATCTGGCTCTGATTCTATAGCTTTGAAATTGCTGCAAACAAATATGATGTTTAATTTATTTATTTGAAAAGTATTCATTTCGCATATATTTCTTTCTTGGTGGTGATTTGAGGGTAGGGTGCATTGTCCAGAAAGTGGTGAAGAAAGTACAGAGACAGAATCAATTTATTCACTTAAATGCCACATATCACATGAGGTGAATCATTTGCACGAGGGGCTAAGGCATGTAAGTCTTGCTACCCAATTGACAGCATTGTTTTTTACCTATCGCATTCTTGTCTCAACATGGTTTTTTACTTGAAAAATTCTCAGTAATTGCATTTTGGGTTTACCAGCCTTTCATTTGGTAGGTGTTTATAATATAGCATATTAGAATGTCTCTGTAGTTGTGGAGTTCTAACCACTTGGAATGTAATTGGTTTAAATTGGAAATTTCTCATTACATAACAATTTAAAATACACAATTGTTCCCTCTTTGAATGAGGAGCTTCACTTTTTAGAAAAGACTCCCAGTCTTAAACACGGAATAATTAGATGAGTGAAATTCCACGCTCGAAGCCACTTATCCCAACTTGACGGTTCAGACTTGTTCCGTGATCTACTTCTACAAAAAATAGATGTAATGTTTTCCAACAATTAATCTGTTGTTCAGATGGATGCATATGGTTTCAATGAGCAAAAAGGAATATTCCTTTGGAATCAAATATTCAACTCTGGTACAGACCTGTTACTTGCATTATTTACAAATTGCGAGNTTTTTTTTTTTCTCTTGCTTCTCCACTCTGTCTCACTAAATTTTTTTTATTTGCTTCCCTCATCAGTTTTCACTTTGGGTAAACTAATTAACTGTTTAATTAGGTTTATGATGTGTTCCATTATGCTAAGTAAATTACATTTCTCTGTTAGAATATTGATTCTATAGTCAAACACCTTCTGAAGGAATTCAGTCTTACGTTTTTGGTTAAGGATCTGGTTAAATAAATGGTAGATCTTAATTGAATTGGCAATTTTTATAGCTAAGTTGGAAAGTCAAACAGTAAAATTGCAACTTTATCTTGAATTTACACTTTTGAGAAGTTCAGTTGTCCGTTCTCATTACATGGGATGGATTTTTTAGTTTCTTGTTACTGCTTATGGATCAAGCATCAGATGCCTAATTGGACCAAATGGCAAATATTAGAAAATTTATGGGTCAGACACTAGTTACTTGATGGCTAATCAGCTCTTACGTTGTTCCTCCAGAGAGTGGGATTCTCTTTGTGATGGTAGAGGCTAAGGGATCAGATCAAACCATTACGATCGCAGCTGATGAACAAAATATCTCTGTCAGCATATCCAGTAGACCTCTCTTCCGAAATTTTTAAAGATATACCAATGCTTAAGTGAACCAACGGGATTATCAAAAAAGTTTCGATTTCTGTTTCCACACAACCAGTGGAGCTAATTTCTGATTCTTTGTTTGCTCTTTATCAAAGTTTTTATGTTTGCGCTGCAGTCTAGAAAAGTAGGATTTTCTTGTTTGATATTTTTATGGGCTGGTTGATGCCCAGAAGTGGTTTGTTTGTTTATCGTAAAACAGTAGCTCTTTATGATCTGGCTCTGATTCTATAGCTTTGAAATTGCTGCAAACAAATATGATGTTTAATTTATTTATTTGAAAAGTATTCATTTCGCATATATTTCTTTCTTGGTGGTGATTTGAGGGTAGGGTGCATTGTCCAGAAAGTGGTGAAGAAAGTACAGAGACAGAATCAATTTATTCACTTAAATGCCACATATCACATGAGGTGAATCATTTGCACGAGGGGCTAAGGCATGTAAGTCTTGCTACCCAATTGACAGCATTGTTTTTTACCTATCGCATTCTTGTCTCAACATGGTTTTTTACTTGAAAAATTCTCAGTAATTGCATTTTGGGTTTACCAGCCTTTCATTTGGTAGGTGTTTATAATATAGCATATTAGAATGTCTCTGTAGTTGTGGAGTTCTAACCACTTGGAATGTAATTGGTTTAAATTGGAAATTTCTCAGTACATAACAATTTAAAATACACAATTGTTCCCTCTTTGAATGAGGAGCTTCACTTTTTAGAAAAGACTCCCAGTCTTAAACACGGAATAATTAGATGAGTGAAATTCCACGCTCGAAGCCACTTATCCCAACTTGACGGTTCAGACTTGTTCCGTGATCTACTTCTACAAAAAATAGATGTAATGTTTTCCAACAATTAATCTGTTGTTCAGATGGATGCATATGGTTTCAATGAGCAAAAAGGAATATTCCTTTGGAATCAAATATTCAACTCTGGTACAGACCTGTTACTTGCATTATTTACAAATTGCGAGCTTACTGTTGCTGCAACCAATGATGCCTTAGTGGAATTACTATAGCTATCATCTACATCGAATTGTGAATATCTTCAAATTGGCCATTCTAGGACTAGGAATCTTTTTTTTTCGGGCTGAAGGTCTAGGAGATGCCACAACGTCTATCTGTGCCTAATTTATTCACCAGTAGTAATCTAGCAGTTGTTTGGATAAATGGATGGGCTTGCTGTGTATAAATAGACTGTTGGGCAGGCAGCCATAGCCGCAAGAGGAATGGATAGCCTAGCCACACACAAAAAATGGTAAAAGTGAAGTAAACTTAGATATTTTCTCATGAATGAGCAATAGTACAGAACATCTAAGATTCATACATTTATCACAATATGCTTTGGTGAAGAACATTGGGCTAAAGCCAGTCATCCCCCATGATACAATGCTTTCTTTACCTCTAAGATGTTTCAATGAAATAAGGAGGAAAAGACGGTCGCAATCTTTCCTATATGGCACTTAAAATCCTTATTGATATGCTATGAAAATCCTAATTCAGGACAGTACTAGGAAACATCGAATGGTGAAGCCTAGTGCACTAAGGCTATAAAAGGCTTTTATTTAGTGGTACAAAAAGGTGGAAGAAAGGTTGCAGCATTTATGGATAAAGTGGGGTTTGAATTGGATTGGTAGGTTGCACGAAATTTTAGAAAATAAAAAGTGGTGTTAAAAAAAGGATAAAGTTTGGGCCAAGGGAAGATGTTAACTATCTTGGTTTGAAAGGCATTTTAGTAGTGAAACAACATGATCCGAGACTTCAAAGAAGTTTTAATGCCATTTTGGTTTGCCTTTCTTTGCTTGCCTATCCGAAAATGGCGCACAGAAGGTTAGTTAAGATAAAATTTGGGAAATGGATTTGGGCTGTTAGGATTGAATCTTTTTGGCATGGAAGGATGTAGGTTGTCTAATTAGGAATTTAAGGGTCCTGATGTAGTGGGATTGTTTGGATTGTTACAACCTCTAGCAGATGGTTTGAAATTGATTTTATCCGCTTAAGGGGCAGTTTCGCAGGTTTGTGAAGGGATTGATTTTTAAGGTCCCATTGCAGGTTAATGTGTGGACAATTGAAGGAAAAAAAGCGCAGAATTTGAAGGAAACATAGGAATTTTACCTGGACTGCTCTAGGGTTTATCAAATGGGTGAATGACTTAAACACCAAAAAAACCTCATATGACTGAAGCTTAATTGAATTGAAAAATGTATAACTAGATGTTCATAGGCTGCTGTTTCTCATTTACTTACCTTATGAGTAGCTCGGAAATAGAAAAACCTCTGCAGTTTGACTATCTGAACATTCTATAACTGATTTGGACCACAGATAGGGCCCAATTAACATGATCTGAAAATAAGATTCATATGCCAATCATTGATTGTCATGGGGCCCACAAACTTGGTGCAGCCAATCAATAAATATATATCCAATTCTAATTGTAGCGAGGAATGATGCCAAGAAGTCAGTTATATATGCCTTAGTCCAGTTAACTATGCATAATGTACGAAGTGAGGAAGCCAATTCATTGGAGCCAACCCCATATATTCAGCATTTATCTGGTGCCTATTTCTTTTTATGAAACTATGTTTACATTGATTTTGACCTGAATTGTCTATTCTTGTTGAGTGATCCTTGAAAATGCCGTTTGATTGCCCTTTCACTCTTGCCTGAGGATATCAAGTAGTTTTTGTTCAATCCACTTCTGATGAAAAGATATCCTTTAATGAAACCACAATCTTAGGTGGTATATTAACAGTCAGGTATATAACATTTAACAGGTTTGGAAATGTCACTTCATTCTGAAGTTTCATGGTAAAAATACTGTTTTTTTCTGTGTTTTTAGAGATGAAACCATCTAGCCCTCGAATACACAGTAAAGGATTTAGCATCTAAAAAGTGTTCCTTGCAGGGACTGAAATCAGAATTGGAAAAGGCTTCTCCTTCTTTGGGGCGCAGTGCTGTTCACTTGAAAGATTCACGTATTAATGGTTTGCCAAGGTACATACCGGCTGTGCTGCTGTAACATTTTCTTCTCATGTTGGCTTTCAATCACTAGCATTAGAGCTCACTGGATCCAATTATGTAACTACGTCACCTCCCCCCTCCCTTTCCTTGCTACCTCCACTTCTTTCCTCCCACTTTGCTTTTTGTGCGTTAATCTTTGGATGAGGAGAAATTTTTTAGGCAATGTTTTGACTAATGTTTTATTTGTTTTCACGAGCAGATACTTGACTATTCAATTTGTTCGGTTCTTCTGGAAAAGGGAATCAAATCAGAAGGCCAAGATTCTTCGGGTAGTTTTAGTTTTCTTTTCTTTCGTTATTTTATTTTTTACTTTTAATTGGTTGAAACTGCATTTTATTTCTTCTCTTCCTGTTGTTCATTTTGGCTATGGCTTGATCTTGAGGAGAGGCTGTGTTCAAGCTCGTATAAAGATTTGAACATTGAAACTTTGGCAGTAGTGGTGGATATTAAATGCCTTGGTGGCCCATCAATTTGCTTTGTTGTAAATTTGATACTCTTCTTATATATGAAAGAAGAATTCAGTGAAGTAATGAATAATGTATTTGCTTTCCACAGAAAGTGGATTTTCCATTGGAATTGGATGTTTATGATCTGTGCTCAGATGATCTTCGCAAGAGATTGGAAGCTCCTCGCCAGGTATATGTTTTTACACTTTTTTTTATCGATGATACTCAAGTTGTGTCTCCCTCTTAGTTGAGCATCTGCTTGTTCTGTCCTATCCATTTTTGTTATGAAGATGTCTTGAATTCAGTTTGATCCTTAGACAAAGTGGCCCTTTCTTAAGGGTGGAAGGCCTGAGCCCCTATAAGCAGTCTGTTTGTCAAATGGGCATGTCTTGTAAAATGGACCAATAAAAGGGCCGTTGTTTCTAGGGTTTGAGTAGAAAGGCATCTTTTGAGACTCATTGGGTGGAAATGGTTTTGGGTCTGATTTGAGCTGCTACCTTATTGACCTCTGTTCTTGATTTCTATATTGAATTTCTTCCTCTCTTCACCCTTTGTCCATAGACGTAGGTCTGAAAAAGTAGGACCATTTAAATCTTGTGTTTCTGTTTCTGTGTGTGTCTGTGTCTGTGTCAGTGTGTCTGTGTGCGTGCGTGCTTTGTTTATGATTTCTTCGTTTTGTAATTGTGATTATTTTTGGTTAAGCTTTGGTTGTGCTTTTGTGGTTTTAGATTCTAAGAGACGAGGAAGGTAAAAAGCTTGGTTTGAAAACCAGTGACAAGAGCTCCAATCCAAGGGACAGTGATGTCAAGATGGCTGATGCAGAGGTATGTGATTGATCTAGCCACGTACATACAACTGTACAATCATACTAACTCTGGAAGATATTTTCAATATACTATTGTGTTTTTGTTCTTTCAGGGATCATCAAATCGTGAAGAATCATCTAAAGGTACTTCCGAAGCTGTTAAAATTCTAAGTGATTCTGTTAATAGAAATGTGCTGTGGCATTGTGCAGCTGCTGAAGCATATGCTAAGGGGGTGGGTGCAGGTACCGCAGGGTGAAGGTTTTATGTTCAGGGACCCAATGTTCTAGGTCAAAATGTTTTTGGGACCACTTTCTGGTTGTTAAGAGTAGTATAGCTCGGCCTGAGAGGGGAACACACTTTTGCTGACTCAAGAGGGTCGCACTTGTGGGTGAAATCCTTTGCTGCACGACTGTTTTCTGTTGAGCTTCCCAATATCACAGCATACTCTTTAGGGGCGGTCTCCAATGCCAACTTTTGCCTTCAACTTTGAAGGGTCACAAATTTTGTTTAATGTTCAATATGCTTCAGCTGGAGCTCGTTGTGAAACTTATATGTATGTGTAATTTTGTTTGAAGTTTGATTGGTAACCTGTGTTTCAGGTGTGCAGCCGGACAACAAAATGCACTTGACTGGAATATATGATTTGGTTGCTGTGCTGACTCACAAGGGCCGAAGTGCTGATTCGGGGCATTATGTTGGCTGGGTCAAGCAAGAAAGTGGTCAGTCTCTTTGGAAGAAATTGTTTGTCTAAGTAAGCTGATTTGTGTTACATTATATTCATTATCTGAGAAAGAACCATTACTGGTCACAGGGAAATGGATGGAGTTTGATGATGATAATCCCATCCCGCAGCGGGAGGAAGACATCACAAAACTTTCAGGAGGAGGTGAGGCTTCCTATGAAAACAATCTTTAGTGTTGTTCACGCCAACTTCTAGTAGCCCCCGGCACAAACATAATCGCGCTTTTCATTGTTATTGGCTGTTCTTTAACTTTTCAAGGACCGGTCATTGGGATATTTATCCATCGTGGGCAGGCTTTATCTCGGTTTTCCAGATTTTTACCTATTTTGCAACTGCTCTCTCTCTCTCTCTCTCACACATGCGCACCCAGCCCACCACCACAACCACCCTACCGCACACCGTGCACATATTTTAATGTAATTGCTTAATTTTTGTTTCAGGTGATTGGCATATGGCTTACATATGCATGTACAAGGCCCGTGTCATTCCCATGTAATCTTTCTTCATAAGAACAACAATTAATTTACATGAAAGAAAGAGCTCGATGGAGAGCACTTCTCGTTTGCACGAATAGAAACCAGGACAACATATGAATATTTGGGGTTGTATCTGAAATGTAATTTGAACCATCAGTTGATTTATGTCACAATGGAGGAACTTTTAACAATTTTTAGTCCACAAACTATGAGAAGGATCTTTAAACTTTATGAAATTTGCTGCTTGTACTGCCAAATTGTGTTTAATGTTTGTGTTTGCTAGACCATCTGCTTTTTTGGTTGTGTGCTTTATTATTCCCCTTCTCATGTTTTTTCTTACCTTTTGAGGGCATGCCCCCTCTTAAATTGATTGTGTGGGGGAATACATGTGTAATATTGGAGGAAGATTAGCAGAAAGGCATAGAGGGTGGAAATATAGAAGAATCAAATTCCAGAGTTTGATTCAATAGGTTTTACAATGGCATGGAATTTTTTAAGTTAATCAAACAGCTGAGCTTCATTTGTAAGTACCTGTCTTGAGCTTTTTTCTTTTCCTAGTGTTTGTTTTGTTTTCTGGTAAGTAGGTCTGTTAATGGAATTGAGACTATCGAGTTTTTTTTTTTTTTTTTTCTAAATAAGTCTAAAAAATTGTTTAAACTTGGTTTGTTTAAAAAATAAATTGAGCCTGAATTGTGCCTCCAAATCAAGTTGGGTCTTGGTAGTTTGATTATTTTATATATATAAAAACTTAACTAGTTTGTTTACAATACGACCGAGTTCGATTGAACTCCTCTTCGAGATAAACCTTAGTAGTTCAGTTTAATTATCAACTCTATTTGTAAGCATTCATAAACAAATAGAAGGATAATACACACAAATTCAAATTAACTCAAAAAAGCATGGATGAAATTTCAAAGGGTAATGTTGTGTTCACCAAAACATCTACTAGATTTTGTGACACTTACTGATTTTATAATTTACTTTGATTTGGAATTCAAAATTTAGTAAACTCTTTTGTGAATGTAACATTGTTGGTTTCAAAAAATGGAGGAAGATGATGATTCGATGACTTTACAAAATGCCATGTTTTTACCATCGCATCATTTCATTCTAAGATTGACACTACTTCCCGACCTATTAGATTTGTTTCACGTCTAAATCATTTTATGTTAAAATTTATGTAATTCATATTTGATACATGTAATGATTTTATCTACTAAGATTAATTTCATATTCATTAATTTTGTGTTGATTTCATAACATTATGATTGCATTTAGGTTTAACTGATTGTGTTAGTAATGGTCCCCTTTAATCCATTTAGCCTTGGAGCCAATACATCGAAAAAGAATCGCGAAAAATTATTATAACTTTTAGATTGATAGGGGGTTTTATTATATTAGGTCTCACAGTTAATTTAATAATTATAAATAACTAAATCAATAAAATAAATTAAATTCAAATAACATATAACAATTTTTTTTTTTTTGGTCATTGATAGAAATTTAGTTCTTGAATACATATTATTATTACAATACAAAAAAATAAATGAACTTGCGCCAATTTTACAAGCATCTATTATATGTAAAGAGCTGCTATTTTCCATCAGCTTGGGTCTCGAATCACAAGCATCTACCTATTCTAGGGCACCGCAAAGCACCAGAGGATCGCGTCAATGACCTCACAGATCTCGCATCTGCTACCTTGAATTTTTGTTCAGCAATATAGTTCGGCTTTACGCCACCACCTGTCTGGCCGAACGAAGCTCCGTTCTCGAAAACATCATTTACGGATCGGAAATTCCACGCCATGCCGTTCGTGTTTCCCTTCCTCCAGGTGACCTGTTGATTCGTTTCTTTGTGAGTTTCTTGAAATATCATCCATTTTCCTACTTCCTTGAGCTTAATCTGTTATCTGTTTGGTAATTTCTACCCTAGACAGTACTGAATTGCTGATAGAATTCGTCAATGGCATTCCTTATGTTTTGCATTTCATTGTAAAGACAGGGAAAAAAAACTTTTGATTCCCCTTTTCATGTTCATAAACATAGAAAATCGACACATATGAGATTATAATTGACTAGCTCTTCACACAAACTCAAAAATAAGAGTTATAGATTGGGTGGACATTTTTTACGCGAGAAACTTGTTTAAGAAACATTGAGTCTGCTCGGAGTCAGATTTTTTTAGGCGAAAAGCTGCTGTTTGAATTTTTTTCAAAAAAGTTAAGAGTTAAAATTTTGGGTTAATTGTAAATTATACCTCTTGAAAGATCGTTCAAATCTCAATTTACACCCCAAAGATAAAAAATCTCAACCCACATTCTATTGGACAAATGCATATAAAAAACATTATATAAATACCTACATTCTATTGGACATTCAAATGGTAAACTTGATTTTGAACTTTAAAATATATCGAACCCACAAAATAAAGGGTAATATGAAATTATAATTTTTTATTAGGATAAAATCATATTTTTGATTTTTGAGGGTACAAATTAAGATTCGAATAATCTTTAAGGTTGTAATTTGCAATTAACCCTAAATTTTTTTCCCAAAACCGCCTGAGAGGAAAACAGAAAATTCGTTTGGAATGACTTCCTAGGTTTCTTTTAGTTTTTTTTTTGTGTCAAAATAAAAAAATAATTATAAACTTTAATTTTTTTATGTCACTAATAATATTTTATGAATATAATAAATTAAACAGTTATGCGAGATTTACGACAAAACTCTAAAAAACTAGAAGAAAAGCCTATAAATTAGTTTCCTATATCAATCTAAACAAGTCTTTTTGGATCCAACAAATTGCTGCATAAGCTGGTCCAAAAGCCTAGGTCCAAATGAACCTGGTTTATTTTTATTCCAAAGTCTATAAAATCAACCTATTTCAGCCAACTCCAAACAGACCCATTGTTTAAAGAAAAATATGGGGTTTTTAATTTATTCCTCCTGGATTATATGAATTATTATAAAATTAGAGATTTTTGAATTCTTTTAGATAAACTAGCTATTTAGCCACTGAACTATATCATTTGTATTAATCACGCCCCTAAACTATGTTTTTTTATTAATTTAACCTTTGAACTATGCAATCTAACTCAATATGACCTTTTTGTCCAAATTAATTGTTAACTTTAACAAAAACCCTCACGTGCACGACACGTGGGTTGTAAACTATAACCTAATATTATTAATCTTTTCAACAAAGTTAATGATTAATTTTAACTGAAAGGGCCATATTGAGTCAAATTACATAGTTTATAGGTTAAATTGACATAAAACATAGTTTAGAGACTTGATTAGTGTAAACGATATAGTTTAAGAACCAAATAAGTTGTTAACTCTTTTTAAAATGTGTATGTTGGGTGATGGAGATAGTTGAGTGAGAAATGTCCTAATCTTAGATTTGTGTCTCGACTCAAATATTTTATAACTAATAAACATGTTGTGTTAGTATTGAATATATGACATGATTTTAAATGTTACAAGTTAAAATTGACTATTACACAACACAATTTTGAAATGATACAAAACAATTCAATTTGTCCCTCCTAATACGAATTCTGAAAGATAAATAATTGTTAGAAATAGTAAAACTACATTACCTCTTTCTTCCCTGATTTTGGTGCGATGAATAGGTTTGCTTGACTCTTTATGCTCGGGTTCATGCTCCCCCCGATTGCATATAATCCCCATCCCTGGTACAGATTGTTAACCACATGTGCATAACCATGGCGAACCCTGCAAATTATGAATATTTGACCTTGAGTTCTATGTATTATACCAGTCAAGATTTCTCAAATATTTATTTTGATAATGGGAATCGTCTCGACCACCTAGTATTTAGACATATGACTGCAACACAAAACAACCGATAGTTTACATCTCATCCCTTGCTTGACAACTAAATCAACTTGTGAGGTATCAATGGGCCTTTGGTCCAATCGTACTCCTTGCCTTGTGTCAAGGGTTCAAGTCTCCCTTCCTCCTCCCCTCCCAAAAAAAATAAAAATCTGACTTTCAAGGGTTAGCTTGTGTAGAATTTCATGCAAACAAAAAAAAATGTACCTTGGCATTCTTTGGTGGCACTTAGGGCCGAAATGGTTGAAGGCCACTGTTACCCTCATGTTTCTGTCTCGGAGGAACCCATCATCATGCCCCAAAAGCATAACCTTATTCTGGTATCTAAACCAGTTGTTTGAAATTGTAATGTCTGTAGATCCACGAGTGACATCGATGAGGCCGTCCTGGCAATTATAGAGTGTGTTGTGATCGATCCAAACCTTCGACGATGTAACTATTCGGATTGCATCCCCATCCACAGGACCTAGATTCACTGTTTTTGCTTCTGGACCCATCACTGGTCCAGGTGTCTGGGCTTGGCAATCATGGATTCGTATACCATGGATGATTACATTGGTTACCTGTTGATATAGAAAAAATGTGAGCAAAATGGGATCAATAATCTTGGAGATCATTCCTAAGTTGGTCAAGTATGGGTTTTTGGGTAATCTAGCTTTGCAAGTCGGTTTCAAGTTTGCGTTCTATCGAATGGTTCTTATCATTTGATATCAGGGTTTGGCACCACATCTCATAGAGGTAGGAAGTTGTATGGGCTAGACCTCTGTGTTGTCATCGAAGGACAACCCCTCATCTAAAATATAGAGGTAGAGAATTATTGATTGAACCACAGTCCTTTGTATAAATCTNTATGGGCTAGACCTCTGTGTTGTCATCGAAGGACAACCCCTCATCTAAAATATAGAGAGAGGTAGAGAATTATTGATTGAACCACAGTCCTTTGTATAAATCTGGAGTTGATTGATGGGTAGGCCATATTAAAATTACTGGTAGAATTCGTATGAAAGGAGTCACGTTATCATCTAATGTGGATAGAGTAGGTCGTTGTGGATGTTGTCTAGATGCGAATGGTGGTATGTTTCGATCACAAGTGTCCCTCATCAATGAAGGATGAGTTTGGTTGTGGGTGTGAGCTTTCCAATTAACTACATATAACTCTGTAAATCAGATGAAAGTTGAAGGTAGTGAATGGTTCAGTACCCTTTGCAACATCAAGCAAGCACCTCCTGCAATGTGAACACTGGTACCACGCCCATCAATGGCAGTAAAACTGCTAACAAGCAGTGGTCTTTCAAGCTTAATTTTCATGTCCCTTTGAAATGTGATCCAAACCTTCCCTTTGATGTTGCTCAACCCATATCTCAGAGTTCCTGGTTTGGGGCTTAGTGGATTGTCGCTGGGATCGGTGACTTTGTACCGTGTCAAGCCCCGACCAACATTGTTGGTCATCTTCCCGGAAAAACCCACCGAGCAGGTGGCAAGCTGCTGCCGGTGGCGCCGCCAATTCGGGTTCCATTGCCAGCACTTGTCGATCACATTCATTTTCTGTATTGAGCCCTTGGCAAGAACTGTGCTTGGGAACATTAAAATGGCCGTGCAAAGAGCTAAGGCAAAACACCATTGTGTTGCCATTTTCAAGTCTTGATGAAATATTTGGATTGAGGGAGAGGAAGAAAGGAGTTTAGAGAGAGATGTTTGATAATCTGTGAAGATATTTATACATGCAAATTAGGGGCAGCTGGGTGGGGAGCTGCTAAGTCTGTTATAATGTGTGGTTAGGGAGAGTTTTGTGATAGAGATGATGCAAAACAGCAAATGAATGGAATAAATAACTAAGATAGTGTTTGTTGTGTGGAGTTTTAGATAAAGAAGAAGCTCTTCTCTTGTCTTTGCTGTGTTGTGTTTCTTGCTTAACTTGAATTTGTTTGCTGGATTTGCACAGCATCCAAACACGTGTGCAAGTATGTTATGAGAGAGAGAGGGAGAGAGAAAGACAGAGAGGGTGTAGCTGTGATTAACGTACACCGTTCAAAGGATGGAGTAGCCAGCTTGTTTTTTTAGTTTGAGGACATGCAAGTAACTTCACCATTTAGTTTGCATTATGGCCCAAAATGGTAGCATAACTAAAATTTGAAACTAAATCTTGTAGTACGATACAAAACCATATAACAGTTACATTTTTTTTTGGCTTACCTTAGTATTACATTTTTTGGGGTCGGAAAATTTGATGAGATTTGCGAAGTCTTTTTATATGCTCTCACCTCAAACAATTGGGGCTTGTTTGGATGGTTTTGAAATGGGGGAAACTTTTTTTTTACTTGAGATTCGTACATAAATTTTATTTAATCTTTTGTTTGGTAAGTAGCATTTACACACGTGGAACTCATGGATTAATCAAATATTTGTCATATAATTGACTAAATTGTTCTATCCAATCCTTTTGTAACTGGGTAGATTAGGAATTGAAAAATATTTTTACCATTATATTTTTGGTTGGTTGATTTAAAATCCATCCCTTAGGTTTGCTATATGAGTTTAACCTTATGGGCGGGGATCTTAATTTCTGGTTTAAAAGCCTTAACCAAATATGAAAGTAAGTGATCTAGTTTACTTAAATTCACCCTTACGAAAAAATATCTAGTGTAACGGTGATACGACGTAACAATGATGACGTAGTATTATATTATAGTAATTATCCTGTTATACNAAGTCTAAAAAATTGTTTAAACTTGGTTTGTTTAAAAAATAAATTGAGCCTGAATTGTGCCTCCAAATCAAGTTGGGTCTTGGTAGTTTGATTATTTTATATATATAAAAACTTAACTAGTTTGTTTACAATACGACCGAGTTCGATTGAACTCCTCTTCGAGATAAACCTTAGTAGTTCAGTTTAATTATCAACTCTATTTGTAAGCATTCATAAACAAATAGAAGGATAATACACACAAATTCAAATTAACTCAAAAAAGCATGGATGAAATTTCAAAGGGTAATGTTGTGTTCACCAAAACATCTACTAGATTTTGTGACACTTACTGATTTTATAATTTACTTTGATTTGGAATTCAAAATTTAGTAAACTCTTTTGTGAATGTAACATTGTTGGTTTCAAAAAATGGAGGAAGATGATGATTCGATGACTTTACAAAATGCCATGTTTTTACCATCGCATCATTTCATTCTAAGATTGACACTACTTCCCGACCTATTAGATTTGTTTCACGTCTAAATCATTTTATGTTAAAATTTATGTAATTCATATTTGATACATGTAATGATTTTATCTACTAAGATTAATTTCATATTCATTAATTTTGTGTTGATTTCATAACATTATGATTGCATTTAGGTTTAACTGATTGTGTTAGTAATGGTCCCCTTTAATCCATTTAGCCTTGGAGCCAATACATCGAAAAAGAATCGCGAAAAATTATTATAACTTTTAGATTGATAGGGGGTTTTATTATATTAGGTCTCACAGTTAATTTAATAATTATAAATAACTAAATCAATAAAATAAATTAAATTCAAATAACATATAACAATTTTTTTTTTTTTTGGTCATTGATAGAAATTTAGTTCTTGAATACATATTATTATTACAATACAAAAAAATAAATGAACTTGCGCCAATTTTACAAGCATCTATTATATGTAAAGAGCTGCTATTTTCCATCAGCTTGGGTCTCGAATCACATGCATCTACCTATTCTAGGGCACCGCAAAGCACCAGAGGATCGCGTCAATGACCTCACAGATCTCGCATCTGCTACCTTGAATTTTTGTTCAGCAATATAGTTCGGCTTTACGCCACCACCTGTCTGGCCGAACGAAGCTCCGTTCTCGAAAACATCATTTACGGATCGGAAATTCCACGCCATGCCGTTCGTGTTTCCCTTCCTCCAGGTGACCTGTTGATTCGTTTCTTTGTGAGTTTCTTGAAATATCATCCATTTTCCTACTTCCTTGAGCTTAATCTGTTATCTGTTTGGTAATTTCTACCCTAGACAGTACTGAATTGCTGATAGAATTCGTCAATGGCATTCCTTATGTTTTGCATTTCATTGTAAAGACAGGGAAAAAAAACTTTTGATTCCCCTTTTCATGTTCATAAACATAGAAAATCGACACATATGAGATTATAATTGACTAGCTCTTCACACAAACTCAAAAATAAGAGTTATAGATTGGGTGGACATTTTTTACGCGAGAAACTTGTTTAAGAAACATTGAGTCTGCTCGGAGTCAGATTTTTTTAGGCGAAAAGCTGCTGTTTGAATTTTTTTCAAAAAAGTTAAGAGTTAAAATTTTGGGTTAATTGTAAATTATACCTCTTGAAAGATCGTTCAAATCTCAATTTACACCCCAAAGATAAAAAATCTCAACCCACATTCTATTGGACAAATGCATATAAAAAACATTATATAAATACCTACATTCTATTGGACATTCAAATGGTAAACTTGATTTTGAACTTTAAAATATATCGAACCCACAAAATAAAGGGTAATATGAAATTATAATTTTTTATTAGGATAAAATCATATTTTTGATTTTTGAGGGTACAAATTAAGATTCGAATAATCTTTAAGGTTGTAATTTGCAATTAACCCTAAATTTTTTTCCCAAAACCGCCTGAGAGGAAAACAGAAAATTCGTTTGGAATGACTTCCTAGGTTTCTTTTAGTTTTTTTTTTGTGTCAAAATAAAAAAATAATTATAAACTTTAATTTTTTTATGTCACTAATAATATTTTATGAATATAATAAATTAAACAGTTATGCGAGATTTACGACAAAACTCTAAAAAACTAGAAGAAAAGCCTATAAATTAGTTTCCTATATCAATCTAAACAAGTCTTTTTGGATCCAACAAATTGCTGCATAAGCTGGTCCAAAAGCCTAGGTCCAAATGAACCTGGTTTATTTTTATTCCAAAGTCTATAAAATCAACCTATTTCAGCCAACTCCAAACAGACCCATTGTTTAAAGAAAAATATGGGGTTTTTAATTTATTCCTCCTGGATTATATGAATTATTATAAAATTAGAGATTTTTGAATTCTTTTAGATAAACTAGCTATTTAGCCACTGAACTATATCATTTGTATTAATCACGCCCCTAAACTATGTTTTTTTATTAATTTAACCTTTGAACTATGCAATCTAACTCAATATGACCTTTTTGTCCAAATTAATTGTTAACTTTAACAAAAACCCTCACGTGCACGACACGTGGGTTGTAAACTATAACCTAATATTATTAATCTTTTCAACAAAGTTAATGATTAATTTTAACTGAAAGGGCCATATTGAGTCAAATTACATAGTTTATAGGTTAAATTGACATAAAACATAGTTTAGAGACTTGATTAGTGTAAACGATATAGTTTAAGAACCAAATAAGTTGTTAACTCTTTTTAAAATGTGTATGTTGGGTGATGGAGATAGTTGAGTGAGAAATGTCCTAATCTTAGATTTGTGTCTCGACTCAAATATTTTATAACTAATAAACATGTTGTGTTAGTATTGAATATATGACATGATTTTAAATGTTACAAGTTAAAATTGACTATTACACAACACAATTTTGAAATGATACAAAACAATTCAATTTGTCCCTCCTAATACGAATTCTGAAAGATAAATAATTGTTAGAAATAGTAAAACTACATTACCTCTTTCTTCCCTGATTTTGGTGCGATGAATAGGTTTGCTTGACTCTTTATGCTCGGGTTCATGCTCCCCCCGATTGCATATAATCCCCATCCCTGGTACAGATTGTTAACCACATGTGCATAACCATGGCGAACCCTGCAAATTATGAATATTTGACCTTGAGTTCTATGTATTATACCAGTCAAGATTTCTCAAATATTTATTTTGATAATGGGAATCGTCTCGACCACCTAGTATTTAGACATATGACTGCAACACAAAACAACCGATAGTTTACATCTCATCCCTTGCTTGACAACTAAATCAACTTGTGAGGTATCAATGGGCCTTTGGTCCAATCGTACTCCTTGCCTTGTGTCAAGGGTTCAAGTCTCCCTTCCTCCTCCCCTCCCAAAAAAAATAAAAATCTGACTTTCAAGGGTTAGCTTGTGTAGAATTTCATGCAAACAAAAAAAAATGTACCTTGGCATTCTTTGGTGGCACTTAGGGCCGAAATGGTTGAAGGCCACTGTTACCCTCATGTTTCTGTCTCGGAGGAACCCATCATCATGCCCCAAAAGCATAACCTTATTCTGGTATCTAAACCAGTTGTTTGAAATTGTAATGTCTGTAGATCCACGAGTGACATCGATGAGGCCGTCCTGGCAATTATAGAGTGTGTTGTGATCGATCCAAACCTTCGACGATGTAACTATTCGGATTGCATCCCCATCCACAGGACCTAGATTCACTGTTTTTGCTTCTGGACCCATCACTGGTCCAGGTGTCTGGGCTTGGCAATCATGGATTCGTATACCATGGATGATTACATTGGTTACCTGTTGATATAGAGAAAATGTGAGCAAAATGGGATCAATAATCTTGGAGATCATTCCTAAGTTGGTCAAGTATGGGTTTTTGGGTAATCTAGCTTTGCAAGTCGGTTTCAAGTTTGCGTTCTATCGAATGGTTCTTATCATTTGATATCAGGGTTTGGCACCACATCTCATAGAGGTAGGAAGTTGTATGGGCTAGACCTCTGTGTTGTCATCGAAGGACAACCCCTCATCTAAAATATAGAGGTAGAGAATTATTGATTGAACCACAGTCCTTTGTATAAATCTGGAGTTGATTGATGGGTAGGCCATATTAAAATTACTGGTAGAATTCGTATGA